GACTGGTCTCCAAACCCTGCTTCCCCAGCTCCCATCAAGTCCTCAGAAATTCTTATCTAGAGGCTTCAAAGAGGGTGGGCTTATGGAGTCTGCCCCCAAAACAAATGAATGAGGGCTTCCCAACCCCAGCTTGGCTGCGTCCTAGCCTCTGGGTTTTAATGAGCTGCCCTGGGTTAGAAACATGACGTGACTGTGGCTGGCTGAGAACCCTGAAGATCTTATTAAAGAATCATCTCCCTTGTACTTCGGGCTGAAATGCTCTTTCCAACGGAGGATCAAAGCAAACTTGACAAACGTTCTCTCATTAATCTCCCCATCCCCCTGGGGCCAGAGCAGATTGGTAGCTGTTCTTCCTGGCTCTCCGAGGGGGAGGCTGAAGTGACACTGACACATTGTGAATAGTGGAAAGACCTCCTTCCGGCCAGATGCAGGACACAGACAGGACCCAGGTATCCTGAGGGGGGCCCGTGCCAAAGGCTACTGGCATCCTGCACCCAGTGCTCTCAGCACTCTCTCAGGAAGAAGAAAACATCTCATTAGGCAAACAGACTCGCCCTCACTGGCCCTCGGGAGGCGGGGATGGGAGAACCTGTAAAGGTTACCAGCGCTCCTCTGCCCGTGCCCTTTTTAATTTCCTGCCTAGAATGTTAGGCTGCTCTGGGGCTCTCCCTCACCAAAACCCTCCCTCGGGGAGCTGTGACTATCAGCAAGGCAGCCCAAGGGGTCCCAGTCTCCTCTGATTTTATTTCCTTTAGTACACAAGCAATGTCCTAGGGACAAGAATGTGAAGGTGAGAGACAGGAACTCCCCGAGTGGTGAAATCAGGTACAGTCTGTACACCTGATGGTGCTTGCAGAATGCCTGGTGCTAGCTCCCTAAAAGTAGTAACTACCATGCAAACATAGGAAACTATTAGGACGCTGTGATCCTCACAGCACGACAAAGAAGTGTTATGCAGCAGTGGAGCAAGCTCTGCAGTCGTGCTGCCTGGGTAGGGACAGGGCTCCATCACTTATCAGCCCTGGGACCTTGGGCAACTTGCTGAATCCTCTTTGTCTCAATTTCCTTGCTGAGAAATGAATATAGTAATGGTATCTGTCTTGCAGGATTACAATGGGGGATAAAAGGAGCTGATGTGAAAGGTACTTTGAACAGTCCCTGGCTTAGTGAGTACTTAGCTAATACGTCTATTATGGCAATCTTCTGGCAGGAATAAAATTGTACATGTGTAAGAGGGGGCTGGCATTGTAGTGTGGCAGGTTAAGACACTGCCTATGATGACACGATGCCATCCCATATGGGTGCTAGTTTGAGTTCCAACTGTTCCACCTCCGACTAGCTCCTTGCTCATGTGCCTGGGAAAGCAGCAGAGGATGTTCCAAGTGCTTGGTTCTCTGAACCCACATGGGGGACCTGGAAGAAGCTTCTGGCTTCAGCCTGGTTCTACCCTGGCCATTGCAGCCATTTGGGGAGTGAGCCAGCAGAAAGAAGATCTCTCTATCTCTGCCTCTTTATCTCTAACTCTGCCTTTCAGATAATTTTTTTTTTTTTCCTTTTTTAAGTTTCTTTAGAAGTTGGTTCAGAAATGGAGCAGTTGCTACTCTGCACTGGTGCTCTGATAAGGGAGACTGGTGTTGCAGGCAGCAGTTTAGCTTGCCATCACAACACCATCCTTGTCGTTTTTGTCTTTTATTTTTAAGGTGCCGGTTAGGATATACCAGGTTCAAGTCTGCCAATATCCACCCTTGGGGCAGTAGTGATAGTTCAAGGTAGCAGGTCTGATACCCACCCCTTCTCTTTGATGAATGACCTTGGCAATTGTGACCATCCGTGAGACTTAGTCCTTACTGAGAAACACAATAGTTCCTCAGCCCTGTTATCCATTGCTAGGGTTGGGGTGAACTTTTCAAGACATCTGTGACTTCTGCATTCCAAACAGCGCACCCTCACCTGATGGTAAACTGATCCAAATGAAAAACAAAAACCAGAGAGAGGTTTGGAGGAAATAGGAAAGTGTTTGGCATGATTAGCAGGTCAACATTAAATCTGTTTTGTCACCTGCTACATTATTAACGAAGATGTGAACATTTCGGCAAGTGACAAGTCATTTGATGAAAATCATCTCCCATTCCTATATTGCTAGTGGGCAGTGGAGGGTAGAGCGCTAAAAATAAGAGCTAAAAATAGAAAGTGTCATGTGCAAGCTATATTATCATTTAATTGAACTCACAGAATCAATGACAATCTATTAGAACTAATAAGGAAGCTCAGCTGTGTGGCCAGATACCCGCTCTGCATACAAACAGCAGACTTCCTCTATTCTGGCAAAAAGGCATTAGAAACTGTATGATTAAGAGCTTATTCAGGGCCCGGCACAGTAGCCTAGCTGCTAAAGTCCTCACCTTGCATGTGCCAGGATCTCATACGGGTGCCGGTTCTAATCTTGGCAACCCTGCTTCCCATCCAGCTCTCTACATGTGGTGTGGGAAAGCAGTCAAGGACGGCCCAAAGCCTTGGGATCCTGCACCCACGTGGGAGATCCGGAGGAATTTCCTGCCTCCTGGCTTTGAAATGGCTCAGCTCCAGCCATGAATCATCGGATGGAAGATGTTCCTCTCTCTCTCCTCTGTGTATATCTGACTTTCCAATAAAAATAAGATAAACCTTTAAAAAAAAAAAGCTTGTTTATAACTTGTAATAAACATTGAGAAGTCTACAATATTCATGTGAGGAAAATTGTGAAATTTTACTAAAGATTATGAAGTTATCAATAAATGGAGAGACCAGTTCCTGGATTAAAAGTGGTATTTTCAGCTAGAATTCCAGGCTCCTGGTTTCAGCCTAGCCTCGCGTTGGCTGTTGCGGGCATTTGGGCAGTGAACCAGTGGATTGAAGAGATCTCTTCGTTCCTCACAATTAGCAAATAAAAATTTTAAAAATAAAAAAAAATCATTTGTAAGTCATAGTACCCAAAATAGCCAAGAAAAAGGACTCTAAAGTGATATAACTACAATCATTACAATAAGTGAGGTGCTGGGGAAGGAACTGATATGCCAGTAAAACAGAATGGAGGGTTTAGAAGCAACTTCATGTTGATAGGATAATTCAGTTATGTTAAATGTGGCATTTTAAATTGCTGGAGAAAAACAGCTCTATCTAACAAATGATCTTAAGAAAATTGCTCACCAATTTAAAAAAATATTTAGAAAACTCCTTACACAGATAACACACCAGAAAATTTTGTCTCAGTAAAGACCCAGATGTAAAAAGTCAAATAATTAATAGAAATAAAAGGGCCTGGCACAATGGCTCAGTGGCTAAATCTTTGCCTTGCGTGCACCAGAATCCCGTATTGGTGCTGGTTCATGTCCCAGCTACTTCACTTCCCATCCAGCTCCCTGTCTGTGGCCTGGAAAAGCAGTAGAGGACAGTTCAAAGCCTTGGGACCCTATACCTACGTTGGAAACCCTGAAGCTCCTGGCTCCTGGCTTTGGATCAGCTCTTCTCTATTAAGGCTGCCTGGGGAGTAAGCCAGCAGATGGAAGATTGATCTTTCTTTCTTTTTCCTTCTCTTTGTAAATCTGCTTTTCCAATAAAAATAAATAAATCTTTAGAAAAAAAATACAAGAAAAACTGGAAGCCAGTGATTGTGTTACAGCAAGTTAAGCTGCCACCTCCAGTGCCAGCATTCCGTATGGACACTTGTTTGAGTCCTGGCTACTCCACTTTCTGTTGTGTTCCCAAGCACTTGGGCTCCTACACTCTGTGGGAAACCTGCATGAAGTTCTTGACTCCTGCCTCTTGGCTTTGGCTGAGCTTGGCCCCAGCCATTGCAGCCTTTGAAAAAAAGAGAGATTACTTGAAAGAATTAGAGAGATGGAGGAAGCAGAAAGATATCTGCCATCTGCTAGTACACTCCCTAGATGGCTGCAGCTGGCTTCAACTGAAGTTCTTCATCCAGAAACCCAGGCTCTCGGACCATCATCAGCTGCTTTTTTCAGGCCATTAGTAGAAAGTTGGATTGGAAGTGGAGCATCTGGAACACAAACTGGTCCCTATATGGAATGCCAGGGTCTCATGCCAACCTGCCTATTACTGTTCTAAGGCGTAAAATGGAGGTGTTCTGGGTTAACCTTCCGCTTGGGAAACCTGTTTCCCATATTCAAATGTCTGGCATGGAGTCCCACCCCTGCTTCCAAATGAACTTCTTGCTCGTGTAATATAGGAGGAAGCAGATGATGGCCCAAGTACTTGGGTTGCTGCCACCATCATGGGAGATCTCATTGGAATGCATGTTCCAAGTTTTGGTTTGGTCCATTGTTTTTTAGATTTATTTATTTTTTATTGGAAAAGCATATTTACAGAGAGGGGAGGCACAGAGAAAGATTTCATCTTTTAGTTCACTCCCTAAAGAGTTGCAACAACCAGAACTGAGCCAATCCGAAGCGGAGCCTCTTTTGTGTTTCTCATGCGGATGCAGGGTCCAAAGGAATTGACCCATCTTATGGTGTTTTCCCAGGCCACAAGCAGAGAGCTAGATTGGAAGCAGAGCTGCTAGACACGAATTAGCACCCATCTGGGGTCCTGGTGCTTGCAGGTGGAGGATTAGCCCATTGGGTCACTGCGCTGACCCTTTGTAGCCATTTGGAGAGTAAGCCAGTGGATGAAAGATTTTTTTCTCTCTGTTTCTCTCTCTCTACCTCTCTTGTGTCACTCTACCTTTCAAATACCTTCAGGATCTTTTAAATATAAGGAGAAGGAAGGAGGGAGGAAGGGAATATCTTTGTATCGTTGGAATTATGTCTCTTCTTTAAACTGAATCTGTTCTCTGTATCATTACCACATTTACATTTAAAAAGTGAAGTATGACGTGGTGACAAGTTAAGTAATAAAAATGTATTTTTGGAAGGACATGGGAGGATGCCCCTGGTTGTGGAGGGCTTCCTGCCCAGGCCTGAGGGTCCTCATATCCATCCTGTCTGTGCCCAGGTCTCCCCAGGAGGATGGCGGTGGAGGACAGCACAGTGCAGGTGGTGGTACGGGTGCGGCCACCCAACCCTCGTGAGTTGGACAGTCAGCGGCGCCCTGTGGTGCAGGTGGTGGATGAGCGGGTACTGGTGTTTGACCCTGAGGAGCCTGATAGGGGGTTCCCAGGCCTGAAGTCCGGCAGTACCCATGATGGCCCCAAGAAGAAGAGCAAAGACCTGACATTTGTCTTTGACCACGTCTTTGGCGAGGGGGCCACCCAGCAGGACGTGTTCCAGCACACCACCTACAGCATCCTGGACGGCTTCCTGCAGGGCTACAACTGCTCAGGTAAGGCCCTGCCAGGGCAGCTGCCTTCAGTGGGAGGGCCACCCTGCAGCAGGGTGTGAGGGATGACAGCCCCCTGTATCCTCCATGCATTCTTCTGCTGTGTATAAGGCCTTGACTGGGCCCTAGGAGACAAGATTAAGTCAGACTGGCATGGAACCCGTTCTCTTGGTGTTCATGGCTTAGTGGGGGAAAAGATGCTAAAAATCTGCCCCCCCCCCCAGGTGCAGAGTGATAAAAGTCAAGGTAAGTCACATGAGGGCAAGAACAGGGACACCATCTGGACAGAGAGGGAAGGGCGCGTCTCCCACCCTGACGGAGGTCCCTCTGCTCCAGTCTGCTAGTGAGAAGGGCCTGGGACAGGCACAGGGAGTACAGGTGCTGCAGTAGGATTGTGAGAGGCAGGGCGGGCCTAACCATCACCCTCCTCCCTCCATTGCCCTCTGCAGTGTTTGCCTATGGAGCCACTGGAGCTGGGAAGACGCACACCATGCTGGGCAGGGAGGGTGACCCTGGCATCATGTACCTGACCACCATGGAGCTGTACCGCCGCCTGGAGGCCCGCCAGGAGGAGAAGCAGTGTGAGGTGCTCATCAGCTACCAGGAGGTAGGGCTGCTCCTGCCCCAGCCCCCAAAGAGAGCTGAGCCGCTGGCTCTGGGAACGGGCAGTGAGCCTGAGGTGGGGGGTGAGAGGCATAACTAACTACGACAGTGCCCTGTAAAGTTCCGTCCAGAACTGGTGCTCACAGTCCTCCATCCTCCCAGGCTCTGCCACACGGATTGCTCAGGCGTCTTCCCTGACCTCTTTCTCCTCAGGTATACAATGAGCAGATCTACGACCTCCTTGAGCCTAAGGGACCCCTCACAGTCCGGGAGGACCCCGACAAGGGAGTGGTGGTCCCTGGACTGTCTTTCCACCAGGTGCGGACTTGGGCTGGGGTGGGACAAGCAGCCCCTATGACCCTCCAGGTTCCCTCCCATGACAGTTTGGGGATGCCCAGAGGTGACACTAGCTCACAAGGACAGCCTCCTCTGTTCAGGGAGCAGTGCCTTTTGGGGAGTCCACAACCCCTTCCTGGGCATCTTTGTCTGCAGCCAACATCAGCCGAGCAGCTGCTGGAGATGCTGAGCCGGGGCAACCGCAACCGCACACAGCACCCCACTGATGCCAACGCCACTTCCTCCCGCTCGCATGCCATCTTCCAGGTGAGAGCTCACAGGTCACAGCCCTGAGGCTGGGGCTGCTAGTCCTGCCCCCCTCACCCCTGCTGTCTGCCCCCAGATCTTTGTGAAGCAGCAGGACCGGGTTCCAGGGCTGACCCAGGCACTTCAGGTGGCCAAGATGAGCTTGATCGACCTGGCTGGCTCTGAACGGGCATCCAACACCCGTGCCAAGGGGGAACGGCTGCGGGAAGGTGCTAATATCAACCGCTCCCTGCTGGCCCTCATCAACGTCCTCAACGCCCTGGCTGATGCGAAGGTAAAGGCCGATGTGCAGGCCAGCAGGCGAGTGCCTGAGCCACAGTCCCTCCCTCCAGCCCTGAGCCAGCTCCCTGTGCCCCACCTGCCCACTGCCTCCAGGGCCGCAAGTCTCACGTGCCCTACCGGGACAGCAAACTGACGCGCCTACTCAAGGACTCCCTTGGGGGCAACTGCCGCACGGTGATGATCGCCGCAGTCAGCCCCTCCGGCCTGGCCTACGAGGACACTTACAACACCCTCAAGTACGCCGACCGTGCCAAGGAGATCAGACTCACGGTGCGTGCCAGCCAGACCCTACTGGCCTGGGATGGGGAGACACCAGGCTGCAAAGAGGAGGGTACAGGGTCACACCAGTATCCTCTGACCCCTGGCCCAGGCAGGAAAATGGAGCTCCTTGAGTTGTATCTACCTTTGTCACAGAGTGACACTACCCCCACTCTGCTGGTGAGAGGTGGGGCATTACCCACCTAAGACCCCCCAGTGGTCTGGCTCAGACCCCCTGTGGGTAGTGGGACCTTCTTTTCTTTTTTTTTTTTAACATTTTATTATTATCTTTTTATGATACAGTTCCATAGGCTCCTGGCATTTCCCTTATCCCCTTCCCAATTCCATTCCCCCCACCTAGTTCCTCTATATTATTACTAAAATATAGTTCTTCATACACAGTCATATGTCCATCATTGTGGACATGGACAATGGCAGAGAGTCCAACATCCTATTGTCAAGATACAGTAAACAGTTTCATTGTAAGTCCATCTTTGTTTGGCAGTAGAAATGCATACTACATTGTATCCTCACATCTGGATGTTAGTCTCCATTTTACAGCTACTATGCATCCCTTTAAATGAAAAGTCATAATACATAATCAACAATAGAAAGAAAAATAGAAATTTACAATGCCGTGAAGTTAAATGACATGTTACTACATATGTCAGTCTCCATTACACAGCTACTATATGCATCCCCTTAAATGAAAAGCCACAAAACAAAATCAACATCAGGGAGAAAAAGGAAATTAACAACACCATGAAGTTAAATAATAATATGCTACAAAATGCTTAACGTGTAGCTAAAGAATTGAAAATCAAGAACCTTCTTGAAGAAAATGATGCTGCTGTATGACCTATGAGTCACTGAATGGTTTAATCAGAAGAAAGTGTTTTGAAGAGATGAAACCAACAGAAAACAACAAAAATCCATGCAATATAGTTTCCGCTGATTTTTGGTGAAGTGTCTCTTCTAGACAATAAATAGATGTTCTTGTTTTTTAATCCAGTCTATTAATCTATGACATTTGATTGAGCTTAAGCCACTTACATTCAGAGTTTAACATGTATGGATGGAACTTTGGTCCTGTCATTTTAGGATTGGGTTGTTCATTGGTTTAGTCTTCTGTTGTCGTTTTACTGGGATGTTCTTCCCATTTGCCTTTGGTTTTGGTAGGTGCTATTCCTCTTCTCTGTCAAGAGAACATCTTAAAGTATCATTTGTAGGGCGGGTTTGAAAGAGGCAAATTCTTTTAACTTTTCTTTACTGTGGAAGAATTGTATTTCATTTTCAAAGACAAAAGAAAGCTTTGCTGGATATGTTATCCTAGGCCTACAACTTTTTTTCTTTTAGAATCTGGAATATTTCACTCCATTCTCTTCTTGCCTGTAGAGTTTCCTGTGAGAGATCTCCTGTGAGTTTGATTGGCATTTCTTTATATGTCAATTGATTTTTTTTCACGTACACATTTAAGGATCGTTTCCTTATGTTCAATTGAAGAGAGCTTGATGATCATGTGTCTTGGGGTGAAGATCGCTTTTGATCAAGCCTGTTGGGAGTTCCTGGATGTTGTTTCCCAATTCTTTCTCTAGATTAGGGAAATTTTCCTTGATGATTTCATTAAATACATTTCCAAACTCAGCTTCTCTTTCTGCACCTTCCAGGACTCCCATAACTCTGATATTTGGCCTCTTAATAGTGTCTTTCAATTCTTGAATACTTTTTTTGGCTGATCCAGCTCTGCTTCCAGCTTTTGTTGGTTTCCCTCTGATGACAGGAAATATCTTCCAATTCTGAGATTCTTTCTTCTGCTTGCTTCATTCTATTTTGGAGACTCTCCATTGTACTTTTAATTTTCTCTGCTGTGTTCTTAATTTCTGATATATCAGCCTTGATTTGCTTTATTGCTTCCTTAAATTCTTTGAACTCTTGTATGTGTTTCTCATTTTTGATCAGAAACTTTAAAATGAGTCTTATGAATTCTGTATGCCCCATTTTCTCAATGTTTTCCTCAGTTAACTCTGAGATTGGCAAAGGGTTTTGCTCCTTTGTAGGGGAGTTTTCAGTAATATTCATTGTGCCTTTGTCTCTTTTGCAGTTGGTCACTGCACTTCTGGTTAGCAGAGTTTTCTCCTTGGGACAGCTTTCTAAGCTGTGTCACCCACAGGTCTACAATGCAATTTTACTTACTGCAGTTGGTACACAACTTTTTGCTTGCAGCCACTTGTACCACAACCTCCAGCGAGTTCCAGGTCTAGGTTCTTATGTTAGATTTCCACCATGGTCTCCACAGCCCCAGCTCCTGGCTCACCATTCTCCTCTTCCTGTGATACCGTGCTGAGGCTGCACAGTTGTCTATGCAGCCTTTCTCCCACTTCTGTTTGGAGCAGGTTCCAGGATTAGAGAGACACCAGGTATCCTATCTAGTTAGGTTGTTGGTGGTGCTGATCTTGCCAGAACCTGTTGGGTGTTTGGTCTGGGTGCCACACGGACCTATTTTGACCCATACGATGCCACAGTCGGTATTATTTTCTGGTGGGACCAATGCGATTTGTTGAACTCAGCGAGTTCTCATGAGATCAGCACATGCACAGTTCACTGTTATCCCCTGCAGTCCTAAAGCTATTGCCACAGTGTACAAAATGGTGCCTGACGTACCACTACTAGAATTCTTGATCTGCTGGCCATCAGGTCTGAGGGCTACCCAGACCTGTCTTGGGTGGAACCTGTGGGATGCCACGTTGCTGCAGTTCACTCAGAAATGAGTTCCCTCCCAGCTCACCCTATGCTCACTCTTTTGCCTTGCCCTTGCCTCCTCATGCAAAATGGCGCCCAATTCGGTTCTAGGGTGGTGGACTGGGCTGTGAAATCCACACTGTTCTCGCACTGCTCGTCCGTGATCTGCTGCTCTGTCTCTGCTCCTGGTCAAATCAAATGGACCAGCAGGATGGACAGTTCTTTGACTGGGTTCACCTCCCAAGCTCCCAGTGAAAGTCCCTTCCCACCTGGTTGGAGTTCCGTCTGCTGGTAGAGTTCAGATCGCCGTTTGCTGAATGCCGCTGGAGTATCAGTCACTGCGACACCACACCGTTGTGTCCGCTGCTTTTCCATGTCTGTCAGTCTCCAAGTACCCCTCTGCTGTTGTTCTGTCCTCTCCTATTTCCTTGAATATGTCCTCTCTGCTTCATCCTGATTAAATGTTTATCTGTCCATTTAAATGTGTCCTTACTCATTCCGCCATCTTGATTCTCTCTGGGACCTTATTTTCAGCAAAGCTGCATAAACACACAGGCAACCTTATTTTCAGCAAAGCTGCATAAATACACAGGCATGAGTATGTTAATGCAGCTGAAAGCACTGGTGCTTGACTCTGCGCATCAGCCAGGCTTCTCCTGTCCTCCAGGGAGCCTGGCTCTCCCATAGTCCCTTCTAGTGAGAAAGACTTGGCTGAGGAGTCAGGGCCCAGGGTCAGAGGCAGTTTTAGCCTCGTGCTGTGGTCTCTTAGCCTCGTGCTGTGGTCTCAGGCACAGTACTTCCTCTGGTCTGGCTCCCGGCTTAGGGTGAGTCTGTTAACATAAGCAAGGTACCTCACATAGGACTTGCCTTGGAAGGTCTTTCTAGAAACTGCTTTGCATGGACCAATGAACCTTCCTCTCTCTCCTCCAGCTGAAGAGCAACGTGGTCAACCTCGACTGTCACCTCAGCCAATACGCCACTATCTGCCAGCAGCTCCAAGCTGAGGTGAGGACATACCTCGGGAGCAGGCTCAGGCCAGCCAGGGCCCCGTGCCCACCCCTTGCCTCCTGTGCTGAGCCAAGGCTCTGGGCCTGAACTGTTGATGTTCTAGGTGGCCGCCCTTCGGAAGAAGCTCCAAGTATATGAGGCGGGAGCTCAGCTCCAACGACAATCCCTCCCAGCTTTCCCTGCGTCAGACATACCACCGCAACAGTAAGTTCTCCCACCTGTGCCTGCCCCACCCTTTGCTGGGCCAAGGCTGGGGAGCCAGCTCCTAGAGGTCTAGAACTCCTTACTATTCAGAGACTCAGAGTTGGAATCCTCACCCAGTGCCTAGCAAGTGAAGCTTACCTTAAATGCCATGTCACAGGAGTGACCCCAAGCCCATAGAAGTAGTATCTAAAGTTCAAGAGAAGGTGCACCTAGAGGTTGGCTGTCACTGTGTCTTAAACCAGAAAGTCCCTGACATCTGCTCTCAGCATCTTTTTTTTTTTTTTTTTTTCAATTATTGGAAACTCAGATATACAGAGAGGGGGAGAGACAGAGAGGAAGATCTGTCCAATGATTCACTCCCCAAGTGGCCACAACAACTAGAGCTGAGCCATTTCAAAGCCAGGAACCCGGAGCCTCTTCCAGAACTCCCACATAGGTGCAGGGTCCCAAGGCTTTGGGCTGTCCTTGACTGCTTTCCCAGGCCACAGACAGGGAGCTGGATGGGAAGCAGGGCTGCCGGGATTAGAACTGGCATCCATATGAGATCCCAGCATGTGCAAGGCAAGGCCTTTAGCCCCTAGACTACTGTATCAGGCCCTCAGCATCTAATTCTTAGGGGCTCTGTACATTTGGGTGCCACAGAGCCCCAACGTGCTCCCTGCTTTCCCCACCTATACCCACATTCTGCCTCAAATTCTTCCCAGCTCCCCTAGGCCATCCTGCCCGCCCATCCAGTCCTGTCCCCAAGAGTTCCACGATGGATCTGGAACCCTTCAGGAGGAGAACCTGGAGACAGAGGCCCAGGAGGAGAGGGTAGAGAATGGGGACTCTTCAGGTCAGGAGCGGGACCCGAAGGACAAGGACGGCAGCCCAGCCAAGGAGGTAAGACTGAGTGGGCTGGGGGGGCAGGAGGGGCCTTGGCTTCGGGAAGGGAGGCTTGGAGCTGGAGGAATATTGCAAGAGAGGCATCCCTTTAACCCAGAGTTCCTTCAGGCCTGGTTCCCAACCCAGATGTCTTAGTTCACTTCCCATGCAAGGATAGTCTGTCACCCCTTGTATGTCTCGAAGTGACCCTGAGTAACGGAGCCTCCTCCAGAATCTGGTCCTTCCAGAAGCTGCTGTTCTTGCTCCTGGAGGAGGGAGGGGTTTAGAGCAGCTTGAACTAAAAGAAATCCTGGCTCCTCTGCCTCCAGCTCTGCCTCCTTCTCCCTCCTTAGTTTCCAAGCCAGACTCCAGAACAGAGCCTTGAACGCCTGCCAGAGAGCCCTGGCCTGACCTTGCCATCCAAGCTGGCTGTGGGTTGCCCCTTGCTACAGAAGCCGGACAGAGATGGTCCTAAGTGGTAGGTGTCTTCTTGCTCCACTCCAGAATCCAAGATGGGAGGTTACGGGTTCAGCCTGTTGGTATAAGCAGTCACCACAGCCCTGGTTCTGTCTAGCTGGGAGTCAGGTCTCTTTTATTGAAAATTCATTTTTATTTATTTGAGAGACACAAAGAAACACAGAAGAGAGATGGAGCTCCCATCCACTGGTTCTCTCCCAGATGCCCAGAGTGGCCAGAACCAGGAGCCAGGAAGGCTTTCCGGGTTTCCCACACAGGGGCAGAAACCCAGTGACTTGAGCCATTACTGCTGCCATGTAGCATCTATATGAGCAGCAGCCAGAGCCTAGAATTGAACTCAGGCCTTCTAGTGTGGGAAATGGGCATCACAGCTGCTCAGACTCTCAGGACTTTTTTTTTTTTTTTCATCAACACTTGCTTTATGTCCATTCAACCCCTTGCTTTTGTCACCTGCTCTATTTATTCCTCCATATGCTTGGCAGCCCAACTGGAGAAGGAAGCCAAGCCCACGCAGCCAGCCAGCAGGTAGCAGGCTGGGACAGGGCTGCTTCTGCCGAAGCTTGGCTTTCCCAACTGAGGGCAAAGCTGCTTGTCCTCAGCCAGGGGGATGGCAGCCAAGAGAGGCTGAGCATCAGGCCAAGCGGGGGGCCTCCCTCCAGAGTCAGGTGTTCGGCACACATCTTCAGCAGCAGCTTGGCTGGGGCTATTTTTTTTCCTCAGAAGTAAATATAGACCACCAACCCCTCCCAAAGCCAAAGAGAAACGGATTTGGGACCATGCTTGGTGTGCTGAATAGAGAGGTGCTGCTAGTATGTTGTGTTTCTTTTTTCCCCTTGGGCCCAGTACATAAATCCCTGGCCACTTAGCTTTGCTGCTGCCTACCCCCACCTTCTTCTTCCCCAATACTAGCTTCACGCTAGGCAATGTATTTAAAGCTTCTGGACAGAAGGGCCTGTTTAATTTTATTTCTTGTTGGGGAGTGTCTGTTCCCGACTCAGCAAAAACGCTACAGCCTGAATAATCAGTGGCTCATTATCTATCTCCTGCTGCCAAGTCCCTGGGGCCCTGGCAAGGCAGGGATGTACTGGCGGGATGTCCCCCTGGCCTCAAAGGGAACAACCACGGGCTTCCTCTGATGACTCGGTCTCTGCTTGGTGTCCCCGTCATTATGAGGAGCCCCCATTCCTGCTCTGCTCTGAGCTGCTTCCACCTTAGCTGTGGTTGGGTATCCTAGCCTGGCTCGTCCCTCGTTGGGAATGCAGTGTTGATGAGTACAACAAGAGGCCTGTCTTGGGGACTGCTGGACGCCCCAGCCTGACTCCCTGTTTGGAAGCACCCTAATAACCAGCGAATTAAGACTCATCTCCCCTTGACTTTGGGACTTAGAATCTTGGGCCACCAGGGCACTCAGCAGATCGATTTTCTAGCTCACTGGTTTTTCAGAACTCTTAAAGCTGCAAAGTCCTTTCTTCAAATGAAATTAATGCCGAAGTCTAACGTGGAGTGCACATTAGACAGTTGCTCTGTCCTGTGGGTTTTGAAAATTCCAAATTGCCCACAAATTCTTGGTGGGCACTGAGCCAGACGCCAGCCCTTTAACATCCAGGCCAGTGCATTGCCCTGGCTTCCCAATCAGCCCTGCGACCACAGAACATGTAGCTTCGGCAGGTGGAGAATGAGTTTCTGCTGCGTCCTTTTTAATTTCTCTCCTGCCTTCTTTTCCAAAGGCCTGGAGGTTGCTTTACAAAATGAGTTTGGGCTCCCTGTGCACACAGCAGCTGAGGGCGTCAGGAGGGCTCGGAGATGTCCACGCAGGTAGAGCCACCTGAGGATAATCGTTGGCATGAATAATCCCCACTGAGATAATTGTGTTTATCTTTTTATCATAGGTGTGCCTTACAGAAAGAAAATTTGCTTTATTAGAATCTAAATTTACAACACTGATAATTGCATTACCCTCAGAATTTCCTCTAAATAGTCCCCTAGTGCATGTGAGATCTGCATCAATTCACGCGTGCTTTTTCAGCGTCCCAGCCACTAAAGCGAAAGCACAGACTGAGTGCGTGTTTGAGGGTCTTCTCTGCATGAGTTGCACATAGCCAAAAAGTCTCCCCTCACCCTAACAAGGTGAATACTGTTATTTCCGTTTTCACGTAAAGCAATAGTTAGCTAGATTTACAGGGCTTACAATATGCTAAGCCATCTTCTTTCCAACAACGCTATGAGGTGGGTGTACTTGTCTTCTCCAGATCAAGGTTGTAGAGATTGAAGCTAACCAATGCACAAGATCTCACAGCTAGGAAATACTGGAGCCAGGATGTGAACCAGCAGTCTGACTTAAGCTGGGTTCCTAACTGCTGTCTTGTGTTGCCCTGAGACCAGTACCAGCCGTCCCGAGAGGAAACAGCCCTTCCCCACTTCCCAGGCCACTGTCTATGAGGCATGCTGAGTGGGTGATATCTCCCACAGTTTCCTGTGGCCACCTTTGCCAGCCTTGGCCTGCAGCAAGGTGAGGCAGAGCAGAAGGCATGGCTGGGAGGGTGCTGCTACCAGCTGGCCACTGTGAGGCAAGGCAGGAGGGAGCCAGGAAATAGCCCTAGGTGTGCTCCTTGTCTCTCCTGGAACGCTGGGAACAGGTACACCGGATGGAGAACCAGGTCAGACCTGGCCTGAGACGGAGTGCCCTTCCCTCTGTTGTAGGCTGGCCCTGCAGGCACTGTGCCTGGCCCAGCGGCAGTACTCCCTGCTGCAGGCAGCCAACCTCCTGACCCCTGACATAATCACTGAGTTTGAGATGCTGCAGCGGCTGGTACAAGAGCAGAAGTCGGAGCCTGGGACCCCCAACCTGGCCAGGGAGGCGCCTCCAGCTCAGGAGCTGTCTTCAGAGTCAAGTGAGTTCCACTTTCCTGCTTCTTATCAGTGCTGTCTCCAGGGCCCAGCTGGGGGCCCAGGGGCCTCAGGTCTGGTTTATGTTGCTGCGGGAGGCTGGGCCCCTGGGATTGTGGACTTCTACCCAGGAGACCCAAGCAATTAAGGAGCTCCCTGTATCTCTGATGTGTGGTGCTCCACATTCTATAGATTCTCCTTCCTTCTGGCCAGTCCCTGATTTCCCCTCAATACCCACCCCACTCTCTTGCCTAGAGTCCCCAGGATACACTGGCCCTGTGACCCGGACCATGGCAAGGCAATGGGGTGGCCTCATGCCCATGCTGGAGATCCCACCCAGACCTGACTGCACCCCAACCCAAGCATCCCGGAGGACCACAGAGAAGAGGAGGAAAAGACCGAATCCCTCTGAGCCAGACGGTCCCCCAGCCCAAAAGTTGGAGACCAAGCGCCAGCGCCAGCGCCAGTCCTTTCTTCCCTGCCTGCGGAGAGGCTCTCTACCTAAGACCCAGCCCTCACTCGGACCCAGCACCCCCAAAGGGCAAAAAGCCTCCCCTTGCCACACCCCTCGCTTCTGCCCAACCACAGTCATCAAAAGCCGGGTGCCCCTGGGTCCCTCTGCCCTGCAGAACTGCTCTACCCCCCTGGCCCTACCTACCCGGGACCTCAACATCACCTTTGATCTCTCTGAGGAGTCCCCTTCACAACTTGGTTCCCATGAATGCATTGGCTGGGAGAAAATCCCCCCAGAACTACAAAGACTGGAGCAACCCTTCATTCCCAGGTGGGTCTGCCCCCCCCCCCCAGCAGGGGCCTGGGTCAGCGAGGGGACACTGGGTTGGCAGGAAAAGGGGAAGATGGCCTGCCTGTCAGAGCTGGGATGCTGCTGTGTCTTTCCAGGGCCATGATCAGCTTCATTCTCCAGGCCAGGAAAGTGGAAAAGTCTGTGGAGGCTTCTCTGGGGGTGGGCCTGCCTGCCTGTCCCTGCTTCAGACTCGCCTACCTGTCCCTGCTTCAGGCCCGCCTGCCTGTCCCTGCTTCAGACCCGCCTGCTCTGTCCTGGTTTGTGGCCAGCTCAGGAGGAGCTAATGGGACTCCAATTTGGGAAGAGTCAGCAGGAAGGAGCCACAGAGGTCATCCTATCCTTCCTGTGCCCCTTCTGCTTTGCTTGGTCCCTGTGACCCCATATGAGTTCTGTGCCCCACTGAGAAATTCTTATTTCTGTCACTTCCACCCCAAGATTTTGCCCCAGACCAGGAAAGAACACCTTTAGGAAACTTTCAGTGTTCTCTGGTAGAAGCACAAAGCTGGTGCCTTTCCCCCGCTGGGCACACTCATGACAGGACAGAGCCAAGAACAAGTGGTAGGCTGACCTGGATTTGTGAGGCAGGGGCCAGCAGACTGTCCACCTGCACCCACCCCATGCATAGCCCTGGACCAGCTTGCAGTAACAAGCTCTGAGGCCGGCTGGTAGAAGGGTGAAATTGTTTGAACTCCAGCTCCCTGGACGCACCTGAAGCTGACATCTGGATGTTCTCCCAGAACAGAACTGTCACTCAGCTGTCAGCCCAGACCTAGTGAGGCAGGGAGACAATCCACCCTGAGCAAGAGAAAGTGCCGAGGTCATCGTGCCCACCCTCCCACACCTCCCCCAAGCCGGGGACAGGGGAAGGAAGGGGCTGGCGCTGTTTCTGGCTCCCTCCTAACCTGCCTCCCTTCCCCACCTGCCTTCTAGCGAACCTGTGCTCCCGTTCTCCGTTAAGGGCCCCAAGCCCATGACTTCCCTCCCCAGGACCTCAATCTGCAAGAGGAGGTGCACTGTAAGGTGAGGTGTGTGTGTGGTGTCAGGGGAAAACAGCTCTCACTAGGACAGGGACACCTGGCAACTGCAGCCCTCCTCTGGACCCCTTGTAGCAGGCCACTGAGAGCTGTGAGCAGGCTTCTCTGGCAGAAGCTCCTTGGCCCTGGCTTGCTAATACAGGGTCATCCTGGAGGTGAAGGTGGCCACAGCTTCCACTGACCTTGAGGTTGCACTTACCCCCCTGCACCCCTCTCCTCTCCAGGCTTTTCCTCTCACTGCCTCTTTCTGGCCCCAATCCAGCCTCAGGAGCTCCTTGCTGGTGCTCAGACCTGCCCCTACTCCCACGCACACCCTTGTCCAGAAGCCTGGCTGTAGACCTCCCGCCTCACTTCCTTCTCTCTCAGTTCCTCAGCCTCCCAGGGCCGCAGCCGCATTGCTCGCCTCCCTAGCAGCACCTGGAAGAGGCCAGCTGGATCTTTTGCAATCCCAGGTGACTGGCACTGGGGGTAGGAGTGGTATGGGCCATGGTAAGATGAAGACAGGACAGGGGAAGAGGGCAGGGTTGAGATGCCAGTAACAGGGTCCTGGGTCCTTCCAGGCATCCTAGGGGATAGGGAGAGGTGAGACGGGCAAGTGTCAAGGGAACAGGGCCTCACTTTGTCCTGCTTGCAGAACCACCCTTGAGTCCCCACTGTGATGGCAACCAGAGGAGCCAGGAGGAATTCCCTGGGTCCGGAACAGTGCTGTCAGTTGGCAACTGCATCGCCAAGGTGTCCTGATCACCCGGCTGCCCTGACCCACCAGCCCTTGTAGGCTGGCTGCCTCTGCTTGCCGCCTGGAGCCCACGGCGCTGGAAGTCCATCAGCCTTCATCCGGGGCGAGTCAATGTCTGCACACCTTGGCTGCATGAACAACCCTCCCCGTCCAGCCCTTCCCCCTGTTACCTGCCCTCCAATCCTTTGTCACACTCTGCTTCTCAGTGTGTGCAAATTCACTGGGGAGTGCTAATGTGTCACTGTTTTAAAGGGTGCTACTCTGCCCTCTCCCCAAATGCTGCCATTTGTGCAGACCGGCAGCTCTTAGGCTCTTTGCCCTCCTTGGGTCTGACACACTGCTTCAGTGGGTGGAAGGATGAGCTTGGGATGGGGGTGGGGTTGGGAGTCCGGGACAGGCTCCTCCTGGTTTCCCAGAGAAGGGGTGACTGCAGCTCCACCTCTCCCGTCCTGGCGCTGGGGGGAAACCAGCCCCGGCTGCTATCCTGGTGCTCTGATTTCGACTCAAAGGCAGCTTCATTATGTTACTCAGGAGCCACAGCAATTCACTTGCAGTGTCAAAGACAAGTGGAAAGAGAACGGAGCGAGTCAGCCTTGATATCACCACCAGATGAAATGCTGGATGCTTGGTTTATGTCCTCTGGTCCTGTATTTTGGCATATATACATGTATACACACAGGTGGATAAAGGTTTTTCTTTACTATAATGACTAATAAGCCATCTCCTTCCTTGGTGTCTTTGCATCACTGGTCTCGGGTAGGAGAGAAAACCTCTCTTACCTTCCCACTCTTCCTGGGGAATCTCTCACAACTCCCACTGACCCCGGGACCTGAGCCTGCTCTCGCCTCACAGCCCATCCTGTTCCAAGGACGTAGGCCTTTGGGTGGGTTTAGGAGCTGTTATGCTTGAAGACCACAGAGGCAGGTACCATCCTCCAGGCTGGGTGTGCCTTGCTGGGAGCCCTGCTATCAAGGTGTGTGTGTGTGTGTGTGTGTGTGTGTGTGTGTGTGTGTGTGTGTGTGTGTGTGTGTGTGTGTGTGTGTGTGTGTGTGTTTCTAATTTGTATTTAAAGAGATAGAGATCAAGATCTCCTGTCTGCCGGTTTACTGCCCCAGTGTCCACAACTTCCAGACATGGGGCTGGGAGCTCAAGCCAGGTGTCCCACATGGGTGACAGGATCAGCATTACTGCCTCGCAGGTTCTGCATTAGAAAACGGGATCGGGAGCCAGAGCCAGGGTCAAGCACATTTGGATTGGCATATTCCCTGCTGGGCTGGGCTGTGCCAAGCAGGGAGCAATATTTATGGCCTGCAGGCCTTTAGGCAAAGCACCATTAGCTTGACCCCAGTGCTGTGCTCTGCTTCCTCAACTCCAGCCCAAAGCCTCACTGACAGCTCAACACAATTTACCTCTGGTCTCTGTGAAGACATGGTTGGCTGAATGAGTTAATAATGTAAACAAAATTACAAGAATCTGTTTAACTTGCTTCTGAAAACAAACCTTTAAGGGTATTTAGCACATTGTGAGTGACAAGCAAACAATGCTGCTATTTCCCAAGGGGGGCTTGCCTGCTGGGCTCCTCCCTGATTTTGGAGTAACAGAGAAGACCAGGAGAAGCCTGGACTACTACTTCAGACCTCCTCACGAAGCTGCACCACCTCTGGCTGCATCATGAGGAGACAGACTCCAGAAGGTTCCCCCAGCTCACCCTGGGATCTTCACATAAGGTCAAGCATCTCTCTTTGGGAATGTGCAAGCATTGCCTGCCATGCACCTAGGGTCCCTCTGCAATTAGTCTTAATGAGTCTTTCTCCCATGTGCTGTGTTTCCCTGAAAGCAGCCTCACATCTTACAGCCCCCCACGGCCTGGCATGGCCTCAAAAGCCCTTACTGGGTTGTTGGTTGGATTCAAATTGAATAACTTCCCTATTTCCTGGGGCCCTCGCATCTATCCTCTGATTTGATCACCATCGTCAGCCCACAAGCACAGAGGTGGCAGGCACGGGCGAGGTGGCTGGTAACGAGGGCCAGGAGGGCATCTGCCCAGCAGGGGCCGTGACACAGGGCAGAGCTGGCTGGGGCTGGGGCAGCTGTGAGGGGAGGAGGTCACACTTGACAAGGAGGTCCCGCAGGCAGCCATTCACTCCGCAAACATTGCCGGCTCTGAGGTGCAGAGTGTGCTCGCAGGCCATCCACTCAACTGCAAAGACGACACATCTGGAGCCGAGCACGCTTGCCTGCTGCCCCCAATCACGGGAGGTCAGCTGAGAGCTCACCACGAGTGCCTGCACACTCGGGAGGCAGCCTGGCTGCTCTGGACTTCGCAGCGAACCGACAGCCAGCTCCCAGCTGACCTCCACAACCGTGCTGGGGCTCCGGGATTGGATTGTTCTCAGGCACATTCACCCACTGGACACAGCAATCGATGTGCACTGCCAAGTCCAGCCTGGCCCTAGGCCCTCTCTCCTTGTTTCCCCCTGCCCCTCTCCTCTTCTGTGAGTTTAGAAATCCTCTCCCCACACCCTTCACACCTACCTCTTGCTCCTGTGTGGGCCTCGCTTCCCCCAACACACACACACACACACACACTGGGATCCAAATTCCTGCCCAGCTCACAGAAACAATCTTAGTGCCAGGAGCTGGAAACACAAGGACACAGTCCCATTGTTCAAGGAGTGGGTGGCACCTGTCCTGTCACCTGGGTGTAAGCCAAAACTTTCTTCAATGTTGGTGCCTGTAATGGGAAAAGGCTGGAGCTTCCTCTCTGGATCCACTCCCCACTCCTCCACACATACCCCCAACTATCAGCCTGGCACCCATGAGAAAGCTGGTTGGCAGCTACTCCCTGGGGAATCCTGTTGTGTAGAGTCCCACTCCTGTGTTCCTGGGTTCGCCCAGCAATGTCCCTTTGGCTCTTCGCTACACTTCGACCCAGCTAGAATCTGGTTCATGTTCTTTTCACCCTTTTATTTAGAGGAACCAGGAGGGCTTATGATGAAGGCTGTTAGGGCAAGGAAGTGATGGGCCACCATCACCCCAAAAACATGGCTCCCATGGCTAAGCTTTCCAGCTTACTACATGGTCTCCCCTAAGCTGCCTGACAGCCCTCCCACCCCCATTCTCCACCGTATCCTGTCCATTTGGAGGGTTGCTGGGTTGGAAATAACAAGCTGCCCGCTAGCTCTCTCCTCCCACCAGGACCATGTCTGATCCCTGCCTCTCGCCCTCCCAAAGGGAGGGACCCAATCAAGCAGGGATAGGAGGGGAGCTCAGAGCAAAGCAAATCTGGGAAAGCAGTTAAAAAGGCGATCTTGGGGTTAGAGACTGGGAGTAGGGGGTGGACTGTGTGGCTGGCCAGGCCAGAAGAGGCCAGGGAGAAAGGGCCTGAGCATATTAACTCCAGGAGCAGCAGCCTGGCCTCAAATTATGGGCCAAGAGGGGTCAGGACAAGAAGGGACGGGTGGGGCCCGGCGCGGTGGCGCAAGTGGTTAAGGTCTTCGCCTTGCATGCCCAGGATCCCATATGGGCGCCGGTTCTATCCCAGCAGCCCCGCTTCCCATCCAGCTCCCTGCCTGTGGCCCGGGAGAGCAGTCGAGGACGGCCCAAGGCTTTGGGACCCTGCACCCGCGTGGGAGACCCGGAAGAGGCTCCTGGCTTCAGATCGGCATAGCATCGGCCGTTGTGCTCACTTGGGGAGTGAATCATCGGATGGAAGATCTTCCTCTCTGTCTCTCCTCCTCTCTGTATATCCGCCTTTCCAATGAAAAAATAATAATAATAAATAAATAAATCTTAAAAAAAAAAAAAGAAGGGACGGGTGGCCTGTGGTCAGCTGGGAAAGGTTCTACAGCCACAAAAGTGGGTTCCTTCCCCAACAAGCCGTTGAACTTATCTAGACAGTAAGATGCTGGACTCTATGCTTGGTATATACTTGCAATGAAAGAATCTCAACTGAACTTGAACTGTGGTAATACAACAAGGTGGAGGAATCCACCATGGGGGGAGGGTTTGGGAAGGGGTGGGGAGAATTCCAGTACCTATAAAACTGTTTCACATAAGGCAATGTAATTAATAAAAAAAAAAAAAAGTGGGTTCCTGCCTTGCAGGGCTTGCCCCAAGGCAGCCCTCAAGGGCCAAGGAGTCCTCAGGGGCACCCACCCCACAGGGGAGTGACCGCCCTTGGCCTTACCCTGTGAGCTCCTCAGTCTAAGGGGGAAGATGTTGGTGTATCAGGGAGTCCCTTTTGGGAGGTCTCAGGCTGAGGTGCAGATGAGGCTCCCCCAGAGTTCCAGGCCTGGGGAGGCATCGAGGAGGGCGACAGTAGAAGGAGCAGACCCTCTTGGGGAGTCTGAAAGGCAAGACTAAGTGCAGGCGTACCAGCCTGGGAGGGAGTGGCACTAGGCCCCTGCCCACCCACACGGGAACCCGGATGGAGTCCTGGGCTCCCGGCTCTGGTCTGGCCCAGCCCTGACTGTTGCAGGCATTTGTGGAGAACAATACAAGATGATTGCTCTTTCTCTGCATTAAATAAGGTGAAATTTAAGGCCAGGGAAGTGAAGAGGCAGCTCCTCGTCCCCAACCAGGGCAGTTGGAGAGAATATAGGTATGTGCTTGGGAAGACGGCAGTCACCAACAACACCCTGTGGCCTGGCCCCCCCCTCCCGCAGTCACCCTGTAGCCCCGGGGGCGGACAGCACCAACTCTCACCTTCTTCCTTGGCCACAGCCAACTGCCCTGCTCTCTCTCTTGCCTGGGACTAGCCCCATCCAAGATGTACTAACATGCTGTCACGGGCGGGCGAGCACCTGCTGATGTTATTAAATGAGCATTCTGACTGGTCATACACCTGCTGTGTCCAGCACTGTCTGGTTTTATCTGCGCAATCACTTTGGAAGTAGGTGTGGTGTCCCCATTTGACAGATGTAGACATGGAAGCCCAGAGGAGCCACCTGCGAGATCTTCACGTAGCTGCTCCTTCCCCTAAAGAGCATTGTCACGGCCTTCAGAGACACATTTGGAAGGCAAAGAGGTGATCCCTCTGGGTGGGCTTTAGCACACCCTCCTGCAGCTGCAGGGACCCCCTTACCCCTTTCTCCCTGCCCTCCACTAAAGCTGCTGGTCCCATTCCCACCCTGGGCAGCTGAGCACTGCCATCTAGTGGCCACAAACCCCAACTCCCTTCCTCAGGGACGTTGCCCAGGGGTCAGTTGAAAAGCTCCTGTTTTCATCCCCCTCTTCCACCCCCAAGCTTGCTGACTGCCAGGCCCTGAGCGAAGGGCAGGAGGACAGAGGGCCAGGAACTGCAGTAAGGTGGCAGAACATCCACCTGACTCCAGGCTGGTATCTTTGGAAAACTCAAGGCACTTACAAGTGTCTATGGCAGATGGGTATGTGGGAGTAACCGGAAGGCCACAGGGCCAGATATGGGGTCAGTTGGCTCTGGGAGGCATTTAAACTCTGCTGTTTAGGCCGAAAGTCATCTGGAAGATTTTGACACAGGGAAGGGACACAGGGAGGTCATCCTGTCCCCACCTCTGCCTGACTGGGCCATGGTTTGGCCACAGGTTCTGTGGAAGATCTCCAAGCACTTCTTGCCAGCAGCGGGCAGCTTCCTACTGTGTATTCTATAACTCAATCCAGGATTTAATCTGAGACTTGAAGGCATGGGAGCCCTTCTGGCTGGGAAAGTGAGTCTGAGCTAGGCGGGGAAGATAGGGGTTGGATGGAGTTTGGGAGGGCAGAAGACTTGCCCCACTCTGTGGGCTGTGTCAGCCTGGGACGTGTGAGTGAGGTCTGGGACAGAGAGGACATAAGCACCCCAAAAATAGAGGTTGGTAACACGAATGCAGAGTGGAAAACCATGCAGCTGTTAAAATGATGATTTAGATAAATATTTATCGATATGGAAAGATGCTCGCAACATACTGTGCAGGGAGAAAAGCAAATTACAAAATAATTTGTACGGCATGAAGGCATTTTGAAAAGCATGAGTTTCTACATGTGGATGAAAAAAAATCTGGTCATATTTAACTCCAGGTGGCAAAATTATGGCCAATTAAATTGTTGTTATATTGCTTCTCTGCATTTTTTTTTGCATTTTTCTCCCCACAATGAATATTATACAAAGAATGAAATGAATACAATGAATATGTCATACAAAGAATGAAAGTTTGAAAAGTCACCAACAGCAAGATAGCTTGTCACTCCGGGTCTCAGTGCAGGAACCTTGAAACAGCTGAGGCAGAATGCAAGAGGGGGATGCCCCGAGGGTGGCGTGGGGGTGGAGGACGAGGCCTAGGCCTGTGACCTGGGGGAGGTGACCGACACACTCCAATGTCTCAGGCATGTTGGGTCACCGAGCTTCACCAACAAGTCCTTTCTGTGGGCACCATCTGTTCTCTGCTCTGCCAGCAGCTTTGTCAGGGCACAGCCATGTGCACTTGAACTAGGGGGAGGCCTCCACATTGTAACCTGCAGGGCAGCCCTGGGGAGGAGGGCTGGAACAAGCCCTGGTTCCCGGCCTTGCCCTTTCCTTCAGGTCCTTTGCCCTGCCTCAGTTCCCTACACACAGCAGGCTCCCAAGTCACCACAGTCCTCTCCTTAAGATTTACCCTCCTTCTGCTCAGGTCCTGGGGCTGTCCCCTCTCCACTCTGGGACACACAGAGTGGACCTTGGCTCATCACAGGCTCATGCTGAGGGGTCAGGGAGAGGACAGGGACTGAGTCAGCCCTGAGAGCTGGGGGTACGGGGGCAGCAAGCCAGGCTTTTCTGCAAGTGGGAGACCTGGCAGTACCCACAGAGTGACTCACCTTGGCACGGACACAATGGTCAGGATGGGCACATAGCCTGCTGCCCATTGCACCCCAGTTCCTCTCACATGCTTTCTGAGAAGGGCACTTGTGGGGGGAGGGGGGAAATCACTCTGTCCCCAGGGGCCTGACAGCCTGACATCTCAGAATAAAAGTGGCTCAGCCCCCTGGGGGCTGCCCTCACTGAATGGCGCCCTCCCTGGCGCCAGCGAACAAGGCTCTGTTCAGCCAGTGCCCAGAAGAAGGGGCAGAGGCTCAGGCAGGGCCAGAGGTGGCTGAGAGCTGGGGGGAGAGGGAGAGGAGGAGAATTATCTGCTTCCCAGAAGTCTCAGGACCCAGAGGGTTGAGGGAACCAGCAGCGGGGTGGGTGGACCTGGAGCCGCAAGGCCGAAGCTCCTGGCAGGACTCTGCAGCTTGAGGTGCCCAAAGGCACACAGCCCTGGAGGCCTTTCCCACTTTCCCTGCCTGATGTGTGGGGACTTGAAGGAGATAAATCTCCAGTGGGAGAGTAAGGGCTGCCAGGGGAACTGCAACAAAGGATGCCATGGGCCCAGCCAGCTCATTCATAACCACTTTGTGGAGCTGTCACAGCCCGGGGTCTGCGTAGGCCAGGCAAGGAGGGTGAGCTGTCAGAGACCCCTTCTCAAGCCCTCCACACTTCCTCACTGGTCTGCCTACTGCAAGAGGGAGACCTCAACTGACCCTGCAAAGACACGTTCCTGGCTGGGACCACTAGTAACACACAGAGGGCAGGAACATGGGGGCGTTAGCTGTGCTCAGAAGGAGCACACCAGGGGACTGCTGGGAATGGGCCATTTCCCTGCTAGCAAGGGCCGGTTTGCACTTCCCTGAACTCCCAGCCCCAGGCTGGCCCTGAAGGAAGTATTGAGAGAGAAAAGACCTGGGAATGGGAAACAGGGCTGACAGGTGAGTCATTCTACCCTTTCCTGCCAAGAGTCAGGGTCTCCCCACTCCTAGGGTCAGGACTGGCACCCAGCACCCAGCCAGGAAGCCTGCAGATAGGCTGTGGCCCAGCCCCACCCCCTCAGGCCATGCCAGGGGGCGTCGCCGAGTCATCTGGGCAGTACCCACCCCCAACTACTCCTCCATAAAGTCTGTGGCCCAGGAGCCTGCAGAACCAGCCATGATGGAGCGTAGACGTACCACCTCCCTTGCTCGCCGTTCCTACACCTCTTCCTCAGCTGAGATGGTGTTTGGGTCTCCTGCTCCTGGGCGCCGCCAGGGGTCCAGTGCCCGCCTTTCCCTGGCCCGAATGCCTGCTCCACTCCCGGCCCGGGTGGACTTCTCCCTGGCTGGGGCACTCAATGCCGGCTTCAAGGAGACCCGGACCAGTGAGCGTGCTGAGATGATGGAGCTTAATGACCGCTTTGCCAGTTATATCGAGAAGGTTCGCTTCCTGGAGCAGCAGAACAAGGCGTTGGCAGCAGAGCTCAACCAGCTGCGGGCCAAGGAGCCCACCAAGCTGGCCGATGTCTACCAGGCTGAGTTGCGGGAGTTGCGGTTGCGGCTTGATCAGCTCACGTCCAGCAGCGCTCGGCTGGAGGTGGAGAGGGACAATCTGGCGCAGGACCTGGGCACCCTGAAACAGAAGTGAGGACAGGACAGGGATGGGAGTGGGCTGGAGGCAAAGGGTGCGGCTGCCACCTGTAGCATCTCAGGCAAGGGCTCTGCCTCACAAGCCAGTTAGGGGGCTGGGCTGGACAACAAAGTAGTTCTGGGCCTCAAGGACCTGACTCCCAAGGGCACCCCAACTGCTCCCCACTGGAGAAATCCCTGGGGCACAGACCCTGCTAAGCTGGTGGGCATGTGTGCCCTCCACAAGTGTGTGTGCTCATGCAGCAGCAAGCACACTCACACAGATGTGTCTATGTGAGCAGAAGCAGGTGCAGCGACTGTGATAAGGCACTTGGGTAATGGGTTCAAGGCTGCTTACCTTCCCAGCCAAGGCCCCCTCTAACCCCTATCCCTCCTGCCACTCTGCCAGTCCTGGGGGGTGGGAGTGTCTCCAAGACAGCCGCCCCAGGGGTCTAAGGCTCCTCAGAAGAACCTGGCCCCAGGGATGTGTCCCCCACCCCTCTTCACCAGGCTCCAGGATGAAACCCATCTGAGGCTGGAGGCTGAGAACAACCTGGCCACCTACAGACAGGTCAGTGATGGGGAGCAGGTGGCAGCAGAGGGTGAAAATGGCAGTCCCCCAGAATGAGATGCTGAGCGCCACCTTCCCCAGGAGGCAGGGTGAAGGCAAAGCCATAGAGTTGGGGGAGTGGAGTCTGGGGTCAGAGTGGCCTTTCACCCCTGTCCACTCCAGGAAGCAGATGAAGCTGCTCTAGGCCGCCTGGACCTGGAAAGGAAAGTCGAGTCGCTGGAGGAGGAGCTCCGATTCCTGGGAAAGATTCATGAGGAGGTGAGGCTGGGTGGAGAAGGGGGCCCAAAGGGGAGACTGAGGCAGTGGGAGGAGGAGGAGGAGAGCCAACTAGGAAGGCAGAAAGACTGCAAAGGCGGCGAGGGAATTCCTAACGCCTAATCCGAGCCATTCAGAGACAACCCCATTTACCAAGGACAACAGGCCCACAGCCGTGAGACAGCAGTCCTTGCAGAACAATGGGGCCTCCACCATGGCCACACAGCCAGTCCCTTGGCCTCCATCTCAGAGTAGGCTGGCTTAGGTGCCGAGCCGAGGTGTGTGACCCTATTCAGGTCATACTCTGTTCTGACCTCAGAGCCTCGCATGAGACTCCATGGTCCCAGCGAACCTGGAAACCCACGGGGACACCCCTCATCTGGTCTGTTCCACCTTCTCCAACACAGGCCACCTGGCTTCCCCTGGCCAAAGCTCATAGCCAAAGAGGGCAGGCAGAAGAGGGTGGAATGCTATGTGGGGCCCCAGCCACAGTCCAGACTCTGAGCCAGGGGCCGCTTCTCTCACCCTGACCAGGAGATACGGGAGCTGCAGGAGCAGCTAGCCCGCCAACAGGTGCACGTGGAGCTGGACGTGGCTAAGCCTGACCTCACAGCAGCCTTGAGGGAGATCCGCACACAGTATGAGGCGGTGGCATCCAGCAACATGCACGAGGCAGAGGAGTGGTACCGTTCCAAGGTAGCCTTTCCTGGGACCAACCTGACTCTTCCAGGCAGCCCTCCCTGCTCCACTCCCTCCAGTGAAACGGGGTGCTGGAAGAGGCTGGGGCAAGGTCCTCTTTAAGTATGACCTGCCTTCTGCAGAGAAGTGATATGAAATGCCCGGGTGACTCCAAAAATACTCATGTTATTATTGCAGTGTGGGAACCAGGGGTCTGGGGTTGGGGTGGCATGTGGGACATTCAGGCCACATAGGTTGTAGATGAATGGAGGGAAGACCTGGGTGCTGCAGGGGCAAGACCTGGGTGCTGCAGAGGAGAGCGCACAGAGAGGCAGGGCCCAGACGCTGATTCGGGCCTAGCCAGGGAACCGAGAACCAAGAGTAGCACAAGCCCGCCATGGTCTGAGCAGTGTCAGCACCTGATGGGACCAGAGGGCCCCTCCAGCCATGCACAGGGAGGAAGGTTACCAAAAACCAGCCCTCGAGGTGAGCCGTACCAGATGTGGTTGCAGCACCCAAACAGCACATGTGAGAACCAGGGAGGAGGAGGCAAAGCCGGCAGGGGAATGTGGGCTCCCCTGCTGGACACCACTCCCAGTGGAGAGCATGAGTTGGGATGGGGCAGACCAGATCAGGCAGGGCTATAACACCTGTGGGCCTCATGTGGACTAGATTGGGGAAGGGCCAGATTGGGCTGACTGTTCCTACTAGTGCAAGCAAAAATTAGAGTGGGTGAGGGTTGGTTGGGCTTAGCCACATCATCAGATGGCAGAGGCTGACACTGGGGGCCAATTCTGTCAAGTTAAATGCCAGAACCACCTGGAGAGTGCATAATCCAGAAGTTGGAGTAGCCTAGTAGGGAGATAGTAGACACCTCCCTCTTAGGTAACCACTCCCACTGGAGAGCACGAAAACCAGGACAGGGGCAGGGGTGGCTAGACAGAAAGGCACCTGCCAATATGTGTGTGGGCTGGATAGTAGGTTGGTTGGGTTGAACTAGGCTTCAATACCCATTGACAAGTACAAGAGCTAAGTGGGATGTGGGACAGGCTGAACAAGCCTGGCGTACATACTGGCATGCATGGGAACCAGGGTAGGGAGCAGGCCTAGTGGGGGTTATGGGGAGTCACCCCAACTAGGCTGCAGCTCCCACTGGTTTGTGTGAGGACCGAGTATGAAGTGGGTAGGATTGAGCTGGACTACAACACCCATTGGTTCAAGAGGATGACAGGGCTGGAAACAGAACTGACCCAGCAATTGCAACAACCAGCATGTGCATAAGCTGATTGGGGCGACGGACTGTGCCAGACCCTGTACTGGCAAACTTACACACGAATCAGGTTTGGGTTCATCTCAGATGAAGTTTCTTTGGAGATCCCTCCAACTGAATTGCTGATCTCAGAACCCCAACCATGAAGAGACTATGTCAGCCAGTGGATTCTGAATAAGTTTCATTGCAATTGGAATGGTGAGATTGGCAGAAATTCAGAACTGTTGACCTATCAAAACTGCTTGAGCAGGACCCTCAGAGCATGCCTCACATCGGGGACCTGGGATGGGTGGGAGGCTGGGTGGGGCTTTTCCCTTTGTTTCTCCCCTGACCCCAGATACAGGAAAAAAGTGATATCAATGTGGAAACAATGGTATTACCCACTTTCCTGTAGCCCTTGACCCTTTGTACCCTAATCAACTAAGTAGGATCATTAAAAACAACAACAACAACAAAAACAGCCCTCCTGGGATCTGCCATCTGCCCCCAACCAGTTTCATCGTACAGGGACATCTGCCAGTGCAAAACATTCTGGATCACCTCGCCAAGTCCCACCCTTCCTTCATTGGCTGAATAGGTACCAGGCTAGGTGCTGAGGTCTGCAGTGGCTACCCTGCCCCTGTCCACTGGCCACAGCCACTGTAACCCCAGCCGGGCCCTGGCCATGCCCTGCCCCTCAACCAACAGCCTCTCCCGTTGTAGTTCGCAGACCTGACCGACGCTGCTGCCCGCAATGCGGAGTTGCTCCGCCAGACCAAGCACGAGGCCAACGACTACCGGCGCCAACTGCAAGCCTTGACCTGCGACCTGGAGTCCCTGCGGGGCACAGTGAGCACGGATGGCCTGGCTCCCCGGGGAGGCTGCAAAGGGTGCACCAGCGGGCGGGGACCGCCGACTGAAGGCGGGGGGTTGGGGTCAGGACCCCATGAGACCCACTGGCCGGCTCCATCGCACAGAATGAGTCCCTGGAGAGGCAGATGCGCGAGCAGGAAGAGCGTCATGCCCGGGAGGTTGCAGGTTACCAAGAAGCGCTGGCCCGGCTGGAGGAAGAGGGGCAGAGCCTCAAGGACGAGATGGCCCGCCACCTGCAGGAGTACCAGGACCTGCTCAACGTCAAGCTGGCCCTGGACATCGAGATCGCCACTTACAGGAAGTTGCTGGAGGGCGAGGAGAACCGGTGAGCCCTGCCCACAGCCCTTGTGGGATCTCCCTCAGTCAGCCCAGCTGACTGCCCTGGGAGTTCCGTCTTCATTGCCTCTCCCACCACCCCTCTCCTAACACAAAGAACATCCTGAGGAATGAATGAAAGGGTGAGTGAATGCAATCTACACTGATTGGGTCCCAGGTTCAAAGGCTGGGGTCACCCCCAAAAGTGGGCAGGTCGGACCCTACCCACCCAGCACAGTCTTCCCTGTTTTCTCCCACCTCTTTGGACACCTCTGCACCCCTCAACTCCTGCCATTCTCCTGCACTTCACACCCAGGTCCCGGCAGACTTTGGGGGTTCCAGAGGTTGATGTGGCTGCTGGGGACAGTGTGGCAGTGGAGTCACCTGACTCAAATGGCCCAAAAAAAAGGGTGCTCCTGATGGCCCTGCTTGAGGCTGTGGCCCCCAGGCCAGAGTTCCCCCTTTGCTTTTTTTTTTTTTCTTTCAGCATTACCATTCCTGTGCAGACCTTCTCCAACCTGCAGATCCGAGGTCAGTAGATCCAAGCCTTGGCAGTGGGCATTGGACTTCCACTGCCTCTACCAGACCTGTGGGTTGCTCTGGTTTGGGGCTGGGGCTGTGCTTGGGAAACTTCAGGATTCATACAGACCTGGGAGCCAAAACACTCCCTAATCCTCTCTCTGCCCCCACTCCTACTTCCCGTGCCCTGGGGACTGTTCCAGCTGGGGCTTGCACCTGCCCTGCCCCATGTGCCACCGGACTCCTTCTCCACGGCAGAATTCCCCCTCTGCCTGTTTGCCCATCCCTCTAAGTGTAATTCCTGTGTTTCTCTAACTGCTTGTCACTACAGGGGGCCACAGCAGCAAAGAAGGGGAAGGTCACAAGGTCACAAGACAGCTCAAAAGCCTCACCATACGGGTTGTCCCAATACAGGCTCACCAGATTGTAATTGGAGCCCCACCGGCTCTCGGTTAGCAGCCTGCCTCTCCCACAAGTGCGCTTCGTCCAGCTGGACCCGGGGGGAAGCCTCCCCAAGTCTCTTGGTCTTCCCCAGCTATCGCCTTCTAGGCTTCCCCTAAAGGGGAACGGTGCTGTTTCCCAGCAACCTCAGTGCCTGTGTGGGGGTGAACGTGGGGTCAGTGTCAAAGTTGGATGCTCTGGGGCCTCTAAGCAGATGCTAACCACCCTGCTGCAACCCCCTCCCTGTCCCTGAGAAGTCTCTAGAAGTCCCTGGTGGCTCGCCTGGCCCAAGGCTCCATGCTGATTTGGCCTGGATGGTTATTTCCCCTAGGACAGCTGTTCTGATCCGTAGTGAGGTTTTCCCTGCTCTTGGTTCCAAGCATTAGTGAGTGTGACAGGTTCTGTATAGGGAGCGGCTGGGAGGGGAGCTAAACTGCTTTTAAACCGTGTGTGGCCTTCAAGTGATTCCTTGCTGCAGGGGGTTTAGGAATGGGGATGAACAGTCCACGTCTGTGCTGGAATATTTAAGAATAGGAGATACATTCAGGACCAGAAGGCCCGGCCAGGCCAGCGGGCAGAAGTCACCCTGCCAGGGCCAGAGGGCACAGCCAGCAGGGTCTTGGCAACCAGCAGAGAGAAGGAAACGGGCAAGGGGTGAGGGGAACAGGAAAGGAGCCCACATACAGTGAGCACTTAAATGTACCAGATGTCTAGCACACATTTTATTTAAATGTTTATTTGAAGGGCAGAATGACACACAAAGGGAAAGACAAATCTTCCCCAAATGGCTTCAAAGGCCAGGTGCAAACCAGGAGCCTGACACCCCATGGGGTCTGAGCACTTGGGTTGACCTCTGTGGCTTTCCTAGCCCTGGGGGAGCTGGACTGGAAGTGGAGCAGATGGGACTCAAACTGGTGCTCTGGCTCGGTCCCACTCAGAGAAGCAGGCACAATCATCACAGTTTTGCAGAAGGTAGAGGCCAGCTGCCATGGCCCGCACTCAGGTGCCTGGCTAGTGGCTGAGCTGGCACTTAAACTCCAGCTACCTGAGTTCAAACTTGTGTCTTCCTTCCTTGGTGTAACGGGGTGCCAGGCAAGGGCTGGTGAAGGGGCTGAGGTGAAGCCACACCTGCTGGGACCTGCACAGTACTGTGGGGATTTGGTAGCGTGTGTGTGTGTGTGTGTGTGTGTGTGTGTGTGTGTGTGTGTGTGACGGGCATCCCTGGCCCCTTTGCAAGTGCCTCAGTTCTTCTGCCTGGCTGATCAGGCTGATATGCCCATGGCCAGGGTGTGTGATAGGCGGGGTGTGCGTGTGTGATAGGCGAGGTAGGTGTGGGAGACAAGACCCCAGTGTTCCGGGAAGCCCACGGGAGGTCTCCTTCCCTCCCACTCATAGAAACCAGCCTGGACACCAAGTCCGTATCCGAAGGCCACCTCAAACGGAACATCGTGGTGAAGACTGTGGAGATGCGGGATGGAGAGGTGAGGATAGCTTCCCAGGAAATGGGGGCCCTGGAAAGCAGCTCTTGCACAAGGCAGTTCTCAGCCATGCATGGGCGTTCCAGCTCCTGTCTCCCCTTTCACCCTCAGACCCCGGTGGCCCAAGTACCAGATCTGGAGGAAAAAGGGAGAGAATGAATGAAAGCTGACTTCATTCATAGCTCTGGCTAGGGTCTGTGGGGAAGGAGTATGGAAAAGGGAGCATTTTCCTGTCCAGCATGGTCAAGGACAAGGGCAGCTGCAGAGGAACGGGGAGAAGGAAAGTGATCCGTGCTGGCCCCAGCCACTGTCACACATCAGCCTGCCAGGTGCCAGGTGTGTGTCCTGGGTGCTACTGCATCGCCCTGCAGACGGCTGAGGGAGTTATTTGAGGCTACCATCAAGAGAACTGAGACCCCAGGAAGACTAGGCTGATAGCAGGAGGTCTGTGGTCTTCGCGAGCTCCTGACTGTTGTTGCCCTGTCCCTCTACAGGTCATCAAAGAATCCAAGCAGGAGCACAAGGAGGGATGAGGGAGGTGTGGCCATGGCTGGCCCTGCCCTGCAGAGGAGGGGCCTGCAGCAGGAGCAAGATGGCCACCTTTCTCCTCCCTTAGCCCAGTTCTGCTGGATCTACACACCATTTGCCACTCCCATGCTAGCTTGCCACCCCAGGCTCCATTGGCAGCAGTAGTTCAGCCGGATGGCACCCACCCTGCACCCAGCAACTACAACTAACAGGGCCCAGTGTGGATGGGCATGGCTAGCAGCCAGGGCACAAGTAGGGGGGAAAGGGAGATGTGGAGATGTGGAGTGGAGGAACCCGATCAAGCTCATCCTGGATGCCTGTTGTGATGCGTTGCCAGAGTGAGAGTCCTTCCAGGCCTTCGGGTTCCTTTAGGTTGTTGGAGTAAAACCCAGTTTAGGAAGTCCCTGCAGGTCAGGGAGCCCAGACAGGAGCTAGTTGCTGTTCTTCTTGCTTGACCTTGGTCAGACTGAGAGTGGATGGGGCCAGCTTGCCACCCTGGGACCTTTGAAATGAAGATTCCCGAATCTCAGCCACCACGTGGGAGCTTGGCTGTCAGCATTTTGGGGGTGGGTCTACAGTGAAGTGGAGAGGAAAGGGGTGCTAGGTGTGGGTCGAGAGAGGTCAGACCCATGAGGCTGTCCCCGACACTCCATACAGACTGGGTATGTGTGCACTAGGAGAGATGGGGAGGGGACAGATGGATGTCAGCGTGGAGGTGCATGTGGCTGACCAGTTGCACTTGGCATGTGTGCTGTGGAAATGGAGGAAGTGACATGACTTCTTGAAGATGGTGAAGGAGGAGAGGGGCTGCTGTCCACGAGGCAGCACATGACTCCCACCTGGGTCTGAAGACCTTGTCCGCAGCTGCGCAGTCCCGGCTCCCTGGCTTCAGGCCCTGCTCAGGCCACCCTACCCCAGGGAAGCAGCTGCTTTTCCCTCAGCCAAGGACCCCGGCTATCCCTCTCCTGCACCAAGGGCAACCCACAGTTTGGGTAGCACCCTGATTTAGAATTGGGGAGACAGAGGTATGGCTCAGAAAAGACATCTGTGTTCCTGTAACCTGGGGGTTGGGGACGCTTGAAGTCACATGTCTACCCCATGGTGCCTGCTCCACTTTCTCTGGGAACTTCGGAGAGTATGTAGTGGGACTCGGTGCCCAACAACAGGGTTCTCCTCTCGCCTCTCAGCCCAGAGGGCGGCAGAAGCAGGGTCTCGCCCACCTCCCCAGACTCGGCGCCTTCTTCCCCTTACTCCTTCCTGCTGCTACCTTTAGCCATGGAGGAAAAATAAAGTCAAGTGCTGTGTGGTCTTGCCTAAGAGTGGACTCCAGTCTGTTCACGAGGCAGGGGGGCTATGGCCAAGATGTAGTGGGCGGGCAAGATCTGCTGGGCTTCCCCTCACTGGTCACTCTGAGGGATCCTACTGTGCCACAGGTGTCCTGCCCCCAGCCTGGGTCCAGTCCCTGAGCAAGCCCCTGGCATGCTGTCTGCCTGCCTTGCCTCTACTATCCCAGTCTTAACGTGTCTGTACCTCAAACAGCTGCTTTCCCTGCCAGCCCCAGTCAAAGGCCGGGAGCAAGCCCAGGGGGATGGGCACCAGCTCCCTCCTCTCTTCCTTCTTCCCCCGGTTGCTCTGCTGCAACCCACAGCCACCTGCAGCCTCCCAACCAGTGCAGGGGCTCAACACCCACACCGACCAGGCGGTCTTTTGTTTTGCTCCCACCTAAGGGTTAAGTCTGAAGACCTGTGCCTAATGGCTACCTCCATCTGGACTTGGTGCCCCATCTCTCCCACCCACTTTCCCCACGTCTCAGATCAGGCCCCAGGACTGTCCACGAGGGTAGCGAGTTGTCCCTTATTGATCTAGCCACACCCCCTTACCCAGTATCCCAGGGCACAGCACCCCTACCCCACCCCTGGAGCTTCTGGCATTATTTAAGAAGCAGGTGGCAGTGCAACTCATCTTACGGGCAAGGGGATGCCTAGGGGGAGAAGCTGGGACAGCAGCGGCAGATGTAGCAGCAGCAGCGGCAGACATGGATGGCGATGAACACCAGCGTGATAAGCAGGTAGCCCATCAGGGTGAGCTCTACCACAGCGCGAGTCTCAGGGTCCGACAGCGAGGCAGCGTAGCGCCTGCGAGACGACACACTCAGCCGGAAGCCGGCCACAAGCTGCCCCTGCCGCCAGCAGTAGTAGATGCCTTGGTCACCGAGCTGGGTGAAGCGGATGTGCAGGTGGTTGCCGTGGTCGATGAACACCCGCATGGACCTGTTGACACCTTTCAGGTACTCGGTGCGGTAGAGACGTCTGCTGTCCTTGTCCCAGGCCACCGCGTGCTCGGGCCGGGCTCCGGGACACGAGATGACCAGTCCGTGACCCAGTCTCTGTTGGTGGAACTGGATGGGCACCTGGGGCACCCAGGGCCGGCTGCCCAGCTTGGACACATAGTTGTAGATGGCCAGCACGCCCTTCCGGTCTGTTTTGCGCTTCTTGCAGGGCTCCTGGCAGCTCTGAACCAGCAACTCGGGGGTGTGGTCCCTGGCTGCGTCCCGCAGCTTCCTGGACAGGGCGCTCGAGCCACAGGACACCACATCCGGCATGGTCTTGCGGTAGCGCGGGGACAGGTGCGGGCTCTGCAGGTAACAGAGGCCGATGCGCCACTGCTCCCCACGCACTCCGCAGCGGTCGCATGGGGTCCACTCCCAGAAAGTGGTGAAAATGCGCAGGTTCCCGCGGTACTCGTCCTCAAAGGGCTCCTCGCCCTTGTCCCTGAAGGTGGCCACCATGCCCTCGCTGCTCTGGATGTCCACATCGTAGGCATAAAAGTAGTCCCCCTTGTGGGTGCCGCAGAAGTACAGGCCCGAGTCCTCGGGTTGTGCCCGAAACACCAGCAGGCTGAACATGCGGATGCTGAAGCGGACCAGCATGTCGCTGCCCGCGCGCACCTGGGCCGCCTCGGTCAGCACGCGCCCGTCGAAGTCCGTCAGCACCCTGGTGTGGCCGCTGCCGAGGTGCTTCTGATAGTACCAGACCACGGCCAGTACCTCCTCTGGCTTACAGTGGCAGGGAAGTTCAAAGCTCATGTCGGCCAGGTAGGCCGCATTGTCGAACATCAGGAAGGCAGGGCAGGGTGTCTTCTGGAAGATGTTCTCCTTCTCCACGAGCTCAAAGGCCCGCAGGCTCTCCCACGCCCACAGCAGCAGGGCCAAGCTGGCCGCCCTCATGCCTGTAGGAGGCAGGCGTAAGGTGGGGGAGGGGGCAGGCAGAGCCTAGGCACTGAGGGCCCACGCGGCTTCGAGAAAACAGATGGCTAGCGAGAAGAGTTCTCTGTAGGAGGAAAGGATTAAGCAGCCGCAGGAGGTGGAGGAGGAAGAGGAGGCTGGAGAGAAAGCAGCCCTGGGTCAGGCCATTTATTCCCAGCTTGTGGGCCAGATGCCCTTTCTGCTGTTCCAGACATGACCTCAAGGTGGAGCCATTCTAGAACCTGATCCTCACTCCCCTTTCTAGAACACTGGCACTCCCCTTACCCCCACCCCTCCAAGAATGGGCTCAGGGCAGAGGGAATGAGAAGGGCCCAGGTGTGTGGGCAGGGACATCTGTTCTGCCTTGTGTTCCAGGGCCTGCCATGCGCTTCCTGGCAAAGCCCTCCCCCTCTTCAGTGTGGTGGAGTGGTGGTTGTCGGGGGTCGGGGGTTTGAGGGACAAGAAACAGAGGACTGGATGGCTACCCAGGAAGCTGGCCAGATCTGGACTGATGACTTGGGCGCTTTCCCAGGTCCACTGTGCCCAAGGGTTCGGTCCCTAGGGGGGAAATGTTACATTGCCAAGGAGACAGCCTTTGATCATCTGTTGATTAAATGTCCATTTACTGGGTTTGGGTTAGAGATATTTTTGTTAAGGATTGTGGAGATGAGTGTCTCATGTGCCTGCAAAGTGTGCTTCTTACTTCTTCTGCGGAGAGGCTGTTCCTGATTGGACACATCCCTCTCTCGGGGCCAGCAGGCTAGAAGCTTAGCGGAAATCTGCCCTCAGGCTCCTGGGCCCTTCGCTGACCTATGGCTCCACAGTCCATGATATTGAGACACGGAGGGGCTGGGGCAGAGGGGGCAATTCCGTTCCTGCTTTGGTTCTCAGAAGTTCAAGTTGAGAGACTGGGGGTGGGTTTCTCACAGTGGGCCTGTAGAAACCCTGAGATCACAAGGCCTTGGCCAGTAGCCGCTGGGACCTTGGAAAGCAGCTGGCCCCCATCAGTCAACTCCATACATCGCTCGCAGATCCTGCAGGAGCCTGGCAGACACCTCCTCTGAGCCTTGCTCCTGCTGGCTGCACCTCTCCTCCTCCAGGGTCCTGGCAGCTCCCATGGCCTGCAGCTTCTGGAACAAGCCACGGCAGCTTTCTCGCTCTGCAGGGCTCAACAGGCTCAGGTTCAAGGCGAAGCGCCCCGTGCTGGCCAGGCTGTGCAGGATCCCCAGCACTGCGGTCCTGTCAGCCAACCTCACCTCAGCAGCCAGTGTTGCCAGAAGCTCACCCAGGAGTCCGAATCCCACGTCCACCTGGAAGAGGCGGCCCAATTCTGGCCCCCCGAGCTGCAGCAGGGCCTGGTAGCGCTCGGGGTCACTCCGCCAGTGGCGCCGCCAGTTACGGTAGAACTCGGCTGAGGTGGTGGGCTGGGAGATGATCTCCTCCTGATCCAAAAGAAGGGAAGGGGAGTTGAGAGCTCTTCCTGGCTCCCCCTGCCCAGCTGAGCTCAGCCTCCCTGATTTCCGGTAGCTTCCACTTAGGGGCAGTGGACAGAAGCCTGTCTGCTGGTCCAGCATGAGAAATAGGGGCAGTGGATGTATGTGTGTGCGTGTGCATGCATGTGTGGTGAAAAGTCAGCACTAGGGCTGAGAAGCCGAGAATCCCAGGGTTGGGGGGACAGTGGGAGGTGAAGACTGGCCTACCTGTGAGATTTCAGTGGTCACCTCAGGGAAGGTCCTCCCATGAATGGTGTGACAGTTCCAGGGCACGCTTCTCTTCCCCCCCATCTTGTCCTTCCGTTCCAGTGGCTTCAGATGGGATGCCAGCACAATACCCCTGTGGGCAAAGAAGAGGTTGGGCTTCACCCTCTGCAGGGTTTTCATGACAGAGGACCAACCCATTGCAGGACGGAGTGAAGGTGACAACGGATCCAGCAATAGTTTGTAAGCGTCTCACAGGTCTCCATGTTCAGAATCCCACTCTCAAAAACTCGTTCAACGACAGTGGTTGCTCTTCTTACTCATGAGGAATGGAGGCTCAGAGAGGTTAAGGCATCTGCATCAGATCACACAGGCTGAGGGCCAGCAGCCAACCTGAACTCCTCATAGGAAGGCACCCTCTGCTCCACGGCCCGCAGCTTGGCTGCGTTCTCCCGCCTGTACTTCTCGTCGGCCGCCAACGCTGCCTGCAGCTCCCTCTCTAGGGCCTGAAAGTCGATGGTGCCCGTGTGGTCCATGTACCTGGAAGGGCAGAGGGTACTTGCGTCAGGGGAGGGGTGGTGCCTGGGAAACCTTTGCCAGGACACAGATGGCAGCTCACATCCCTCACCATGGGGTGGACTTCCAGAATCAAGCCCTCCGCTCAAAGGAGCTGAGTTGAGCAGTGAGGACTCACAAAGACAGATCAGTGAAAATACAGTTCTGACTTTCAGTTTTGGGCTTTGTCTTAAAAAAAAAAAAAAAGATTGGTGGCATCTCACAGAGGTGCCAGTTTCAGTCCTGGCAATTCCACTCCTGACCCAGCTGTGGAACAAGCTCCTAGTTCCTGGCTCTAGCCAGTGTGGCCATCTGAGGAGTGAACCAAGCAGATGTGAGCTAGTCAGTCACTCTTTCAAATAAACAACTGATTCTCTCTCCAAATGTCTACATCAGCCAGGTCTAGGCCAGGCTGAAGCCAGCAGCCAGGAACTCCACCTGGGTCTCCCAAGGCAGGAGCATGATCCCAGTCCTTGGCTCATGACTTGCTACTGCCCAGATGTCCTAGCAGAAAGCTGGATGGGAACTACCGAGTGGTCCAAGCTTCAACTGGCACCCTTGGCTATGAGATGGGGATGTCCCAAACTGCAGGCTTAACCTGCTATGCTTACAATGCCATCCCAAAAGTTCAGCTTCTGTCAGTTACTCCTGAGCTCAGAAATCATCTTTGATCCTTTAGGAAAAATCTTTCGTAGAACACTTTCCAGCCAAACCAGATGTGATGGTTGGGCAGGCAATTGGAGTAGCAAAGAGGGAGCACGACAATTTCCCAGCCCCCAAACCCCTCTGTTCTGCCCAGGGTTGGGGCCAGGTGCCGAGGGCCCTGCATTCAGTGATGCCACTGTGCCTGTACAGCCCATCCCACAGGGACCTGGTGGGCCCTTCCCATGGAGAGATTAGTCCTCTCCATAGTCTAGTCTTAGTGCCAGCATTTATAGGGGCACTTCTACATGTTCCCGGGAAAATGCAGTTAATGCAGATGTTCAGGTGCAGCCATCTGGGGCCCCTAAGACACCTGCACTCTGTGTCCGAATGCCAAGCACCTGTCTCAGCTACTCCAAGGGGGATCCAGCTTTCTCTGGATATGCACTTTGAGAGGCACCACCCACACAGAAGATCCAAATCGACTCCCAGCCTCCTGGCTCCATCTGGTCCAGTCCTGGCTCTTGTGGGCATCTGAGTAGGGAACCAGCAGATGGAAGATCTTTGTGTGTCTCTATCTATTCCAAATAAATTGAAAACACATACATATTTTACATATTTAAAAGTAATAAACATTGGGGCTGGTGCGGTGGCTCAGTAAGCCAATCTTCTACCTGCAAGTACTGGCATCCCATATGGGCACCGGTTTGTGCCCTGGCTGCTCCATTTCCCATTCACTCCCTGCTTATGGCCTGGGAAAGCAGAGGAGGATGGCTCAAGTCCTTGGGCTCTGCACCCATGTGGGAGAATAAACTCAGAATAAACCCAGAATAAACTCATGGCTCCAGGCTTCGAATCGTCTTAACTCTGGCCATTTTAGCCATTTGGGGAGTGAATTAGCAGTTGGAAGATCTCTCTCCCTGCAAAATCTGAGTTTCAAATAAAAATCTTTTTAAAAGAAGTAATGAACATTGATTAAAATAAGTTAATTTTCATGCGAAAATGTTTTGAAACCATGCATAGTTTTCTAAATATTTGAAAGGCAGAACTACAGAGAGAGGGGGGAGCAGCAGACAGAAAGATCCTCCATCTGCTAATTCATTCCCCAAATTGCGGCAACAACCAGGGCTGGACCAGGCCTAAATTAGGAGCCTGAAGTTACAACCAGGTCTCCCTCCCTCATGGGTTGCAGCGACCCAGGCACCGAGGCCGTCTTCCATCTTTCCCAGGCACATCAGCAGGGAGCTGGGTTTGAACCTGCACTCACATGAGAAGCTAACATTGCAGATGGAGGCCTAACCTAGCAAGTCCCAACTCCTGCTGCCTGTCTTTTCCATAATATGCATTTTCATGCACCTTTTGAAGATCCCCATCATAAGCATGGCCTTAATACATATCTTTGCATCAAAATAAACACAACTTTTAACAACATTTTCCACACATTTTTCTCAAATGCCGGGGCTCGGAATGCGACCGCGCTGCACTTCAAACTTCTGGGGAGTTAGGCTACATGTAGTGGCAGAAACACCTGCTACCATCCGGGAAAACGGCGGAACGTATAGGGGTCTGGGCTGGCCTGGAACTGAACTCCGAGAAGTCCCATTTCTGAGCCTTCCAGAGTCATCAAATCAGCAAGACTAACCCGTCTGTCCTCCCGACCCTGCCACCCGGATCTTCACCACTGCGGTCCCCGCCTGGGTTCCCTTGCTTCTTTGAGGAGTCCCTGACAAAGCCAGAACGGGAGGCCAGCTCTGCGACGTCCACAACCGACATCAGCGGTTGCCTAGCAACTGTGCCACGCACCTGCCCACGTGATCAGATCGAAAGCCCCCTTTAGGTGGCCTCGCGCTGCCTGACCAGATTCATGCGCACTCAGGCCTCACTCGGCATGGAGCAGCCCACGCTTTAGTTTGGCATTCCTAACTCTACCGCCGGGTCTGTTTCTGCGTCTGCGGTCGGCGTTCCTCAGAGCCTGTTCTCAGGCACACGGCTGTCCTTCACGGCAGCAACGCGACCCCGGCGTCTCGGGGTCCTTTTTGGCTGGCGTCGGCGTGACGCGAAGGCGGGCGCGCGGTCTCCGGCGGCGGACTGGACGTGTGGGCCGAGCGGGCGGCAGGTGAGCTGGGCTGCAGGTGGACGGCGTGGGAAGGTTGGTCCGGGAAGGGTAGGACCTTACAGAACTTCGTGTCGGGATCCGGAAAGCGCCTGCTACCCCCACGGTGTCCTTCGGTCGCCTCCATCCCTCGCGTCCCGTTCCCGGGCGAGGAGCGTTAACTGCCCGGTCCTCCCTTTTCCTGTTCCGTTTGTGTCGGCGTTAGCTCGTTAGTGTCTTTATTCAGGTTTCTCTGCAGAATCTCAGGTAGCGGGAAGCTGCTGGTGAGCCGGGGTCCCCGGTGGTGTGAGGTTGTAGGTAGCTCAGCCATCTTTCCACGCGTCCTTCAGTGTTCTCAGTGAACTTCTGCTTAAGTTATAGCGGGAGGGATGGACAGGAAACGAACGGGTAGGACTAGGTCGATGAGTAAAGCAGCGAAGGTGAGGGTTGGAGAGTGAGCGGGGACTCTGGGAGAGCCAAAGGACAGTTAGATCTGAGGCGAGAGCTTTTCTGACAGAGAAGAGCAGGTGTGATCGCCTTGTTGCAGAATTGAGTCTGATCCCGGAACGGCGGCTCTTCGGTGAAACTTCATGCGCTTGCTTGTTGGGAAGTCCTGGGAGAACAAAACGAGCGCTGTTCTGACAGCTCTGTGGAAGTAAAAAAATATGCATATGAAAATGTTCTGAACACAGTTAACTGCCAATCTTGAGCTCCTCAGTTACGTTTTTTGTTTGCAGGAAACACTCAGCAGATGGCATTGAGGGTGGTGTTAGCCCAACATAAGAAACATCAGTATCTCAGCATCAGATTTTCCATTCCATTTCCACACGCGCGGTTCCTGCTTATTCAGGGTGCTCTTGGGCTTTGCAACCGGGGTGGGGGTTATGAAGAACACCGGATTCTCCTAGTCCATCGTGACTTGATGGGGGGTTGGCGCGATGGCTCAACTGACTAATCCCCCTCCTGCAAGTGCTGGCATCCCGTATGGGTGCCGGTTTGGGTCCCAGTTGCTCCACTTCCCTTCCAGCTCCCTACTTGCGCCCTAGGAAAGCAGTGGAGGATGCCCAAAGCCTTGGGACCCTGCACCTATGTGAGAGACCTGGAAGAAGCTCCTGGCTCTTGGCTTCAAATTCGTTCAGCTCTGGCTGTTGTGGCCATTTGGGGAGTGAACCAGCAAGCAGAAGATCTTTCTTTATCTCTCTCCCTGTAAATCTGCAGGTAGTTGGAATCAAAGGGAGGCAGAATTTGAACCCAGGAACTGTGTTGTGAAATGTAGGCACCCCAGCAACGTCTGACTGCTAGGCTCAACCTTCCGCCCCCTCCTCCCCCGCCTCTTTTTTTTTTTTTTTTTTTTTTAAGTTTTTCAATTTGAAAGCCAGAATGATAGAAAAGTAAAGAGAGATGTTTGTTTAGTAGCTTTCTCCCCAAATTGCCTGCAACACTTAGGGCTGGACTGGGCTGAATCAGGAGGCAGCAACTTTATCTGGGTCTTGCCGTGGGTGACCAGAGCCCCGTACTTGAGGTACCAACAGGTGCATTCGCAGGAAGCTGGGTTGGAAACAGAGGCCAAATTTTGTTGCAAATGATAGCTTAACCCACTGCTCCATGATATCTGCCCTATCCTGCTTTATTTTTTTATGTATTGTTAATTTTTTGGTATTTGATAGAGGAGAGAAAGAGCTTCCATCTGTATTTTCACTTCCCAAATGGCCATGGTGGCCAGGCGTTAGCACAAGCCAAGCTGGGAGCTGGAAGCTCCATCCGGGTCTCCAGGTGGGTGAGAGGAAGCCAGTTACCTGAGCTATAACTGCATTGCAGGGTCTGCATTGGGTGCAGGCTGAAGAGCCAAAGGCATGTGTGGAACCCAGGCATGTAACCAGCATCCTAACTCCTGGGCCCAGGCCTGCCTCTTGAATGATTGAGTTTCAGTAGTTGCCGTTAATAAAGCCTATAAAGTACTAGTTAATCATAATGAAAAATTAGTAACATTGTAACAGAAAATCTCACATATATTAACATAAACAAGAATAAAAGTTAATAATATCGCGTTGAAATAACACACCACTCTATAGGAAACTCAGAAACACAGTATCATTTGTGTGATATGGGTGTACTCAGAGGAAGTGTCAGACAGAATCCAGGTAAGAAGCAGTCTGCACAATCCCTGCCTGTAGGCGTTGAAGGTGTTAAGTCACAAAAGACAAGGAAAGACAGGACCTGGGATAGACAGAGATGTAAACCATGGCAACCAAAAAGCTGGCTTGGATCCGCGGCTATGCAGCTTGCTTGTGCAAGCATTGGTAGAACCTGAATGAGGTCTGTGACTTAGGTAGTACAGGATCGTGTTTGTGTTTTAGTTTTGATGGTTATACTCTGGTTACAGGAGGCATCCCTGTTTGTGAGGGTCATGCACACTGAGCCAGTGGTTGGCCGACTTCCCATTAAGGACCTCATAATAGTTTCAGCTTTTGTGGACAAAATGGTCTTGCGCAGCTCCTCGGCTTTGCTGTTACAGTACAACAACAACTACAGACAGTGTACATGAGCATGCATGGCTGTGTCCCAGTGAAACTTGTGTTACTCAACTCTGAGTTAATGTGTAGTAAACTGTTTTTTTCTTTTAAATTTATTTAAAAGGCGCGATCACAGATACACCTGGGGCATGTTCGGGGTGGAGTGGGTCAGAAGGGGAAAGGAAGAAGAGAGGGAAATGTGTCTGCCTTTCATCGTCTGTGGAAGAGAAAGATCACCCTTCCCTGTTGCCAGTCTTGGTATGATCTTGGGAAGAGGAGTGGTTTCATGATATCACTGTAGGTCCTCTAGGGATGTCCTAGGGGAGAAGTCATTTGATTGATAGATAGGCAGGTGGGGTTTACAAATAGCAGGGGGAGCTTGACTTCCAGTTCGTGACACTAAATGAAAGTCCCATTTCATTCCCTCCTCAGAGATTTCCGACTCTTAATCTGAGGATTGCTAAAGGGTACAGATTCATCATGTGTTCTATAGTTGCTTCTTGCTGACTAGGGGTATAGGGCTTGCCCATCTCAGGCTCAGAATCTCTTTTCTGTCATCTGATGGATGCCTCTCACGGGCCAGAGAACTTCCACTCAGTGCCAATGGCTCTGTCCCCTCGCATCTTCATCATTACCTTGAGATGTTGTTGGCTTCTTTACACAGGAGTTGGCAACAGAGGTGGTCTAATCAGGCAACGTGTGTGCCAAGGCCAGACCATACAGCCCTGAGTTCTGGTCTCTGGGGTTGGAGATCCTGACGTTTCTGAAGTCATTGAGAGATGAAATGATGTGCTGTTTGCCAGGGCCCTAAGCAGTCGGCGATCCTCCACCCGCAGCAGTGTTGCAACCTGGCCTAGGGAGCCCCAGCACACAGGCCTACCCATCCCAGGCTGACTAAGAAAAGCATTTTCATTTGAGCATGCTCTAAAAACAGATTGAGGGACCTGATTGGCCATAGGCCAGTTTGCCAACTCCTATTCTAAGTGTTACAGGGTGCTGGGTACTGTGTCCGCAGCCTGCTTTCAGTAATTTAAACAAGAGAAAGTTACTTGTGCTGTTTTTGCTGCTTTTTGGTATTATTTTAAAAGTTTCTTTTAGTATTGAAAAAGAGAAGGGAACATTGTTTGAAAGTGACAAGTAATAGGCCTGAGAAGAGGGTTAAGTACTGGACTTTGAGGAGAGCCATTAAGGGACTGATGTAACTGGAGAGAAAATATATGTAGGGATCTGGCCAGCTGGGAGGCTGGGACCGTGCTGTGGAGCCCTTAGTCAACTTGCCAGAATCTTCACACTTCTTTTTGATTTTTAGCAGGATGGATACTGACTTGTATGATGAATTTGGAAATTATATTGGACCAGAGCTTGATTCTGATGAAGATGATGATGAATTGGGCAGAGAGACCAAAGATCTTGATGAGGTAAGACAAATATATTGGCTTCTTTTTTTCTTTTGTCTGCTTCTTCAAACACATAGACACACACATAGACACACACATACACACACACACACACACACACACACACACACACACACACACACAGTTACTGGTTTCTTTGAAAAGGTGTTCCATCTGTTGGCTCATTTTTCCAATCACTGCAGCAGCATGGGCAGGCCAAACTGGAACCATGAGCTCCCAGCCCAATGTGGGCTTCCCTGTGAGCAGTAGGGATTCAGTTACTTGGCCATCATCTGCCCCCCAGGGTTTGATTGGCAGGAAGCTGGGATTGGAACTGCAGCTGGGACTCAACCCCAGGCACTCTGATGGCGAGTGTGGGGAATACCAAATGATGTCCTAGCTGCTGTGCCGAAAACTTTCCTTTCTCTCTTAAACAAACTGCAGTGTTCCAAATCTTTTTCACCCTGTACTTCTCTAATGTTAGCTTCTTTTGTGTTCTAGTTCTTTTGGTAATGTGTTTTCTTTTACTCATGGTTGGCAACCATGAGTAATTCTAGCTTAGAAAAAGTAGCCGACTTTTCCAAGTACAGCTACATCACAAAATCTCTTAAGGCTCAGATTTGTTGTTGTTAAGTTTTACTTATATCCTATTTATTCAAAGTCAAACATAGAACAAGATTATTCATCCACAGATTCACTCTCCAGGTGCCCTTAAGAGCTAAGACTGGGCCAGGCCAAAGCCAGGAGCTGGCGACTCAGTCCAAGTCACTCATGTGGGTGGCAGGGGCTGGAGCCTTGGGCTGTCACTTTCAGGAGATTGGGAGGGGTGCCAGCATAGTAGGTTAAGCTGCTGCCTGTGACACTGGCATTCGGTTCATGTTCTGGCTGCTGCACTTCGTCTCACTCCCTGCTAACAGCCTGGGAAAGGCAATGAACGATGGCCTAGTTGTTCCTTTCCTGCTATCTGTGTGGCAGATCTGGGAGAGGCTCTTTGCTCCTGGCTTTGGTGTGGCTCAGCGCTGGCTGTCGTCTTCTGAGGAGTGAATTGGCATATGGAAAAATTCCTCTGTCTCTGTAATTCTGACTTTATTATGATTTTTTATTTATTTAAAATTTTTGGTAATGCTTACCTAGTTGATCAAGGTGGAAAGGATTGAGAATTAGGGAAAAGTGGGTGTGATCATTGTAGAAGATAAGGGGATGAACCAATCGCCCAGTATCTGGGGATGGGGAAAGGCCACCTGATATCAACCCAGGGTCCCAATGTAGCACACACTCCAAGGGTTCTGCCCAGGTGGTTTTGATGGTTTTGAAGTGCTTTCAGTCTCACCAATCCAAGAATGAGGAAACCCTTCTGATGTCCATTGACTGATGGTCGAACTTACAGTCTCCATTCAACCAGGTTTTTGGTGTTGTCCTTTGGGGTAGTTGTTCAGTTTGTTCTGTTCTTCCTCTGCTACGATACCAGATGTCTTCTGTAGGCCCCAATGGGCTGTGATATCCTTCATGTGCGTCAGAGCCTGCCATCCACTGTTCCATCTTTTCCACTGAGGAGGACCAGTTCTTGCAGGCAGACCCAAGGACCTGGGCCTGACAGTCCTCCACCCCTGGTGCTCATGGACCTGGCACCCACCACCCTGGCTGGCCTTAAGGACCACTCCCCGCCTTTCGCCCAGGACTCATGGACCCAAGACCCACTGTACGGGTGTGCCCAAAGACCCAGGTCAGATGACCTAGGCACTGCTGGACTCCCTGCCCCTGGGGTCACAGATCTTGCACCCACTGTGCCCTGAATGGCATAGCTCCCCTCACCTTGGCATTCACCAGCAGGTGTTGTAGCCTAGCTAGGTCCAGCCTGCTCCCATTTCCAGTTCCTGCTGGTGGGTGATGCAGCCTAACCTGATCCAGTCAGCACCCAGTCTTGGCCCTAATGTGGACTGGCTGGAGTTGCAGTCTGACATGGCCCAGCCTGCACCCCCGCCCCCATCCTGGTCCTCAGATCTGCCAGTAGATGTTATGAACGAGCTAAACCTGACCCAGCCCCAGACCTGACTCACATGTATGCTATCGTGTACAGTAACCTGACATGGTCTGGGATGCTCCTTGCCTTGTTTCTTGCACTCACCTGCAGGGACTGCATTCTGACAAAGGAATTCTCCAAGCTCATCTATCAGGTCTCCTCCCACTGGCAGATCTCGCGCATGCCGATGGGTCCTTGGCCCAGGTTAACTTAGTCCGTCTCTTTTCCTGAGAGGAACAGTGTTGTTGCCTAGTTGGCCCACACCCATTCTGGTTGTTACTCTTGGGAATTACAGTCCAGCCACACACGATCCACTCCCAGCCACAACTCTCATGTACCAAGACCTAACCAAGCTAGCTTTTCACCCACTCACCCCCTCATGAGCACCAGTGGTTGCTGGAATCTGGCCCAGTTTGGCATTCCCCAAACCCAGTCCACATCCATACTGAAGGAGACTGCAGCCATGTCCAGCCCAGACCACTGCCCCCATTCTGGTCCCTGCACTCACCAGTGGGGAACACCAACCCATCTGGGGCATCCCCTTAGCTTCCCAACCAGGGCAGTTTCCAGCCACAGCTCTTGTATATGCCAGCAAAGATTGCAGTTCCATAGGAGTGAGCCCACATGCCCACCTATAGATTCTGTCCTCAGACCTGATTCTTTTGCGCGCTAGTTAGTGTCATGGGCCCAGCTTACATTACCATCCCTTGTTCCAATTCTCACTGGTGGGTACTGTGATCTAACCCCACCAGATAGGGACCCAGCCTTAGCTTTAGTGTATACCAGTGAGTGGTATCTGGTGGTGGTCAATGTTAACTTCCCCACCTCAGGTCTCCCACACGTATTGGCACTTCGGTCTGACCCTTACAGGTCCTCTCGTTTCCTGCTTCAAACCACTTGATCTCAGCCCCTTCACTTACCTGCAGATACATTGGCCTTGTCTGTGGAAGTCCCTCAGTAGTTGTTCCTCACCTGGACATGAACCATCAGATCCCCAATTACCCCAACCTGCACCATCTCCCAGAGCCCCTGTAAACCCATCCTCCAAATCACCAGAGCATACTGCTGGGTAGCTTGGGGCCTTATTGGGCTTCCCATCCCCTAGGGAGTTACAGTGCCCAGCTTTCCACACCTGTGCCTATAATTCTGACTTTCAAAATAAGTAAGTCTTAAAAATGAACAAATTGGGAGGATAGGCATTTGACCTAGGCTTTGAGAACATGGCTAGGATATCATGTGCTGTTCAGAGTCGCTGCGTTTCCATCCTGACTCCAGGTCATGCTTCCTAGTGTGCATCCTACAAAGCAGCAGGCAATGGCTCAGTTGGCTTCCTGCCACTCATGTGGGAGACCTGGATTGAGTTCCTGGCTCCTGGCTTCTGCCTGGCTGTTGGTGGGCATTTGGGGAGTGAACCAGCAGATGGAAGTTGTCTGTTGCACTCTCTCAAGTAAATGGATAAAGCAGCTGTGGCTAGTGACTGTGGTGCCTAGAAGTGAATTAGGCATCTCATTTCCAATTTTTGTGGTGCAATAAGGTGCTGCATTTCAGAAACTGTAAATTTATAACTGTGATATGCATCCATGGTAAATTGTGGAAGACATTTTGAAACTGATGTCTGTTTAATACGTAAGAAGCTAGTATGAGCTTTATAAAAATAATTTCTTGCTGGGATTACCAGGCTGAGATACAGGCCAGGAGCATACAATGGGTATGATAAATCTTGATTTAGGCAAAGCATTTGAAATTTTATAAGGCAGTTTTTTTGGTTGTTGTTTTTTTTTTTCTTTTTTAAAGAGATTTTTCATTATATCAGTAACTCATGCATACATTCTCATGCAGCCCATAAGTATAGGAAAGTCTCTGCATCTTCATTCCATTTCATTCCTGTTCCTAAATTCAGCACCATAACTCATGCTGTGCTTGTGAGAATGTGGACTAGGTCCTTGCCCAGATAGCAGAGGTCATGGCTGGTTGAACAGCGTGACTCAGAGTATTAATGTTTCACTCCAGAGCTCCTGTGACATGCCCTGGGCGTCAGAGCTTAGTCCTGTTCTTTTCAACCTTTTTACTAGAGAATGGAGGTTTGCAAAATTTGCAAGTGAATAGAGCTAATATATTGGTTGCAAAATCTGGATTTGAGGTGATCCTAATAAGCTTGAATGCAAGGTTAAATACATCCATCGAGTATTTGTAGAACACGCACTTTATGTGGGGAATCGTGATGCAGGGAGCACCCAGGCAGTGCCTCTGCCCTCCAGGAACCTGTTGCTTACTGGAGGAGGCAAGGCATAAAGGAATTTATTTCAGGAAGCAAGAGGGACAGGATCATTTAAGTGAAAATAGCTTGATTTTTGGAGGAATTATTCCTGGGTGGGATGACTCAAGAAAGGTATCTTCATATGTGACAATCAGAGTGCATAGGTGTCAGTAGGGACAGAAAGGGCAGTGATGAATGGTCCAGATTGGGGGTGGGTAGGATTGGGAGTGATAGCTAAAGAGTACAGTTTCTTTTTTTCTTTGTTAAATTTTTTTTTTTTAATTTTATGGTACATTTCGTATAGATTGGCATTACCCCCCAAACTCCCACCCCCGACAGATCTTCCCCATGCTGCTACAATAGTATAGTCCTTCATAAGGAGTCATAATTCCATCAGTCTGTTATTTAAATATGCCCTGACATTGCTGGTACAGACATGTTGGACAGTCCAGCATCCCATTGTCTACACATTTCCAACAGCTTCATTGGGAGTCCATCTTTGATTTGGGAGAGTACAGTTTCTTTTTGGGGTGATGAGAATAATCCAAAATAGATTAGCATGATAGTTTTTAAATTGACATATATGATTTATACCTATTTTTGAAGAGATGCACTGCATGTACATGACGTGTGACACTCAAATTTGAGTCATTAGTGTGTCCATCTCCTCATTGTTGCCATTTCTTTGTTTTACAGTCCTCTAATGACTCGTTGTCATGGGCTGCAGTTGTGTAGTGCCGTCAGAGGACTGCAGTGGCTGCTGGCTTTCTCCTCCTGGCAGGGTCAGGACCCCCTTGTCTCCTAGTCCACAGCAGGTGCATAGACTTAACTCGTAAGTCAGGTGATGTGATCAAAACAAAATGTTCAGCCCCTTGCTTCAGTGAAGAGAGGTCAGTAAGGGAGTCTGGGGCCCAGGTGGGCACCCATCACAGCATACCTAAGAGGGAAGTGAAGATGTGGACTTGGGCCAGTGGGGTTGAATGTGCAGCTGAAAGAAAATGCAGAGAACTGGAGTATCTAGAGGAAGACCAGTTATGACAGACAAAAGGAAGTGATACAGATGATGCTTTATTATTGAGTCATGAAGTTTGAGGATTCTCAGGAAGAGATAATTGCGGGGATCCCATATGGGTGCCAGTTCATGTCCTACCTGCTCCACTTCCCATCCAGCTCCCTGCCTGTGGCCTGGGAAAACAGTTGAGGAAGGTCCAAAGCCTTGGAACCCTGCACCTGTGTGCGAGACTTGGGGAAGCTCCTAGTTCCTGACTCTAGATTGGTTCAGTTCCAGCTGTTGGAGCCACTTGTGGAGTGAGCCAGCGAATGCAAGATCTTTCTCTGTCTCTCCTTCTCTGTAAATCTGCCTTTTCAATAAAAATAAGTAAATCTTTAAAAACAAGAAACCAAAACAAACAAAAAAACACAAGAAACATTGCTTTATACCCGCAAGAGGATATACTATGTGGAGCCATTTGTTTTCTCCAGTCATGTTACACTTGTAACTGGTGGCCCATGGTCTTGAACCACAAGAGCTGTCAGAGGCTAGGCTCATAGTCTTCTCTTTGTGAAGAGTCTTGCAGAAGTGGGACCTTCCTTGTTGATGGAAAACTCACAGTGAGTTCTCAGCTCTCGCTGTGAGAAGTCAGGGCTCTCCTGTGACTTAGGCTATCTCTCAGTAGTGGAGTGTGTGCCTCATTCATCCTTCTTCTCTTGCCTCCAGATGGATGATGATGAGGACGATGATGACATAGGAGACCATGATGAAGATCACCCTGGGATGGAGGTGGTGCTACATGAGGATAAGAAGTACTACCCCACAGCGGAGGAGGTGTATGGGCCAGAGGTGGAGACCATAGTTCAGGAGGAAGATACCCAGCCACTCACAGGTAAGTTAGAAGGTGCTATGTTGTGAAATAAAACCTAGGGGCTAACATTGTGGCATAATAGGTAAAATCACCACCTATAGTGCCAGCATCCCATAGGGTGCTAATTTGAGTCCTAACTACTTCTCTTTCAGTTCAGCTTCCTGCTAATGTGCCTGGGAAAGTAGTGTAATACCTGAACAAATCAGCTGGCTCTTGGCTCCTGGCTCTGGCCCAGCGCTAGCCATTGTGGCCATTTAGGGAATGTACCAGTGGATAGGAGATCGCTCTTTTGCTTGTCTGTAGCTCTGGCTTTCAAATAAATAAATAAATAAATCTTGGGAAAGAAAACATTTCATAGTTGTGGCAGGGACCCAAATTCTTGAACGATCACCTGCTGCCTCCCAGGATCCCTTAGCAGGAAGCTGAAACAGGGAGTAGAGCCAAGACTCATTGTGCGCTGTGGTCCCCACCCCATGTGATGGCTCAGTGGCTAAATCCTCACCTTGCAAATACTGGGATCCCATATGGGTGCTGGTTCGTATCCTGGCTGTTCCACTTCCCATCCCTGAGAAAGCATTAGAGGATGGGCCAAGGCTTTGGAACCTACACCTGTGTGGGAAATCTGGAGGAAGCTCCTAGCTTCAGATTGGCTTAGCAACAGCCCTGTGGCCATTTTGGGTTTGAACCAGTGGATGGAAGATCTTTTTCTGTTTCCTCTCTGTAAATGTTATCTCTCTTCCCAATAAAAATAAATAATGGTTTTTTTTTTTTTTTTTAGATTTATGTATTTATTTGAAAGTCAGAGTTGGAGAGACACAGAGAAATCTTTCATCTGTTGGTTCACTCCCCTACATGGCTACAACTGCTGGAGCTGAGAGACCCAAGAAGTTGGGCCATCTACCACTGCTCTTTTTTCTTTTTAGGGTTTATTTATTTTTATTGCAAAGTCAGATATACAGAGATGAGAGACAGAGAGGTAGATCTTCTGTCCGATGATTCACTCCCCAAGTGGCTGCAACAGCCAGAGCTATGCCGGTTGAAAGCCAGGAGCCAGGAGCTTCTTCTGGGTCTCCCACGTGGGTGCAGGGCCCCAAAGTTAAGGGCCATCCTTGACTATTTTCCCAGGCCACAAGCAGGAAGCTAGATGAGAAGTGGGGCTGCCAGGATTAGAACTGGCAATCATATGGGATCCCGGCACATTTGAGGCAGGGACTTTAGCTAGGCCACTGCGCTGGCCCAATCTTTTGCTTTTGTAGCCACATTAGCAGGGAGTTGGGTCTGAAGTGGAGCAGCTGGGACATAAACTGGCACCCAGACAGGATAACGCTGCTACAGATGGTGGCTTTACCTGTCATGCCACAGCATTGGCTCCATCAAAGTGGTTTCTTAATGACTAGATCAGATGGCTTCCCCAAAAGGAGAGCTTCCAAGCTGATACTGAGCTCAGCCTGCGTCCCTCCTGTCTTCTTTCCGCCTGTCCTCACGAAGAAGTTCAGACTCTGGGTCAAGACCCTTCACTGTCTTGTGCCAGACAGCACCCCCTGGACTGTTGTAACATAGGGTGGTCCTGGGCAATAGACTAAGTTGATGCCATGGGTCATCAAAGCTCTGTAATGGAATAGGACTATAGTGGAATGGAGTATTTTTTGTCTGCCTAGCTGCATGTCATTGCCTTCTGTTTCTGTTCTTCCCTAGAACCCATTATTAAGCCAGTGAAGACCAAGAAGTTCACTCTGATGGAGCAGACGTTACCTGTCACGGTGTATGAAATGGAGTAAGTTGCAAGGTTCTGGCTTTTTGCAGGAATAGTGTGGACTCATCTTTTCGTGGATGCAGAAAGGGGCTTGAGGAAATGAATTGGCTACACAGATCTTTCCCTGTGGTTATCCTGCTTACATGGCTGCTGAGGTTCACAGACTCAGTCTTAACTTCTCCCCAACTTTTTTCCAGGTCCCAGTTATTTGCACTTCCTCCAGCTTTGAGACTCAGCTGCAGATTAAAGTTAACTTTAGAATCACCACAATCTGTTTTTCCCGTTTTTGTGGTGGTTGGTTTTTTTGTTTTGTTTTGTTTGTTTGTTTTTTGTTTTGAAAGGCAAATTTATAGAGAGAGACGGACAAATCTTCCATCCACTGGTTCTTTCTCCAACATTCCCCCAATGGCCACAGTGGCTGGAACTGAGCCAATCTGGAACCAGGAGCTGCTTCAAGGTCTCATGCAGTGCAGAGTCCTAATGCTTTGGGTCGTCCTCTATTGCTTTCCCAGGCCACAAACAGTGGAGGGGAAGTAGAGCAGCCGGGACACAAACATGCACCAGTATGGGATTCCAGTGCCTGCAAAGGGAAGATTACCTAATGAGCCATCACACTGGGCCTTAAGCCTGTTTCTGACCTGTCAGGCTGCTGATTATTTCAGGAATATGGTAACTCTTTGTTTTGAAATTGAGGCAGGTATGGCCATATATGTAGACCATACAGCTATTCACTTACAAACTGTTTTTGAAAACATCCTCACTGATGTAACACATGTGTAAGCTCCTTGACACATGGACATACTTGTGGCTCTACCTAATGAAAATGATTCTTTGTTAATTTTTAGGTTTGTTTTTGTTGGTATTGTTATTTTTAAGTTACTTGATAGATAGAGTATACACATGCTCCCTTCTGCTGAATCACATCCCAAATGCCTGTAACAGCTGGGCAAGCCTGAGCCAGGGTCTTGGAAACCCAGTCCAGGTCCCCGCAGGTCGTTGAGCTGTTCCCAGTGGCTCGCAGAGTCTGCAGCGCCCGGAAGCTGGAGTCTGGAGCTGGCGCCAGAACTTGCCTAGCACTCCAGGAGAGCGTGGGCAGCTTAACTGTGAGACTAAAAATATCTCTCTTGGTTGTTTCTAAAACATGTTGACCGCAGAACTTGCTTTATATTCTTCTGCATTCTCTATCAATTTCTTTCTTTTTTAATCTCCCGGAGAGAGATATAGCATGGTGTTTAAGACCCAGACTTGGGGCCCAGCACAATGGCTCAGTGGCTAAATCCTTGCATTACACATATAAGGATCCCATATGGGCACTGGTTTGTGTCCCATCTGATGTACTTCTCATCCAGCTCCCTGCTTGTGGCCTGGGAAAGCAATTAAGGAAGGCCCAAGGCCTTGGGACCCTGTACCCGCATGGGCGACCCGGAAGAAACTCCTGGCTCCTGGCTTTGGATCAGCTCATTTCTGGCTGTGTGGCCACTTGGGGAGTGAACTACTGGACAGAAAATCTTTCTGTGTCTCTCCTTCTCTCTGTTTACAACTGCCTTTCCAATAAAAATAAGTAAAGCTTTAAAAAAAGAAGAAGAAGTAAAAGAAAAACACCCAGATTGGGATGCTTGTTGGAGTGCCTGGGTCAAGACCCCACTCTGCATTGGATCCAGCTTCCTACTGATGTGTACTTGGAGGCAGCAGGTGATGGCTCAGGCTGGTGCTGCCATCCACGTGCGAGAACAGAGCTGCTTTCCTGGCCCCCGGCTTTAGCTCTGCTCAGCCCTGCCTGTTTCAGTTAAATGGGAATGTGCCAATAAGTGGAATCTATGTCTGTCTCTGTTTCTCTTCTGTCACTCTGCCTTTCAAATAAACGCAACTTAAACAGAAATCTCTAGTCTTTGAGAGCGGTGCTGGAGTTGCTAGAAGGCTGCTTGCCGTGAGTAACATGGCTGGTAATTGTGAAAGGCGGGACTGGCTTTGATGAGGGTGGAATTCATCTGAGCTCAGCATCCTGATGAGATGGGTTTCCGAGTGCCTTGCTGACTGCTCCATGGCCCTTTCCAGAGAGGCTCCTGGGTGATTTCAGGCACCTGTGGTGTCAGTGGATCCAGGCATAGGTGAGGATTGTTAGAGAGCCAGTGCTCATGTACTCATACAGGAGTTAGTTCAGGTAGTTAGTGTGTTTTTCTTGTTTTTTTTTTTTTTTTTTTTTGGTTGTTGTTTTGTAATCTCATTATTTTACTGTTGAAACCCCACAATCTTTCATTCAGAAGGCTGTCTTCTTATGGCCACATCTGTCCCACTTCTGGAGCCAGAACTGAGTAGTGCTGCTATCCACATCTGCCTCCAAGCAGTCTCTGCTGGGTGTGAAATTTGTTCATGGCCCCAGACACCTTGAAACACCTCTGCTCTGTTCTCCATTTAAAAACTTTCTGTTCAATTCGCTTTCTCTTTTCCTTTCTCCTTTCAGTTTCTTAGCAGATCTGATGGACAATTCGGAACTCATCAGAAATGTAACCCTTTGTGGCCATCTCCATCATGGCAAGGTGAGAAAACTGGGGACTCCTTAAGGCAGCATCTTTCCTTGTTCCTGCTCACTGTTTGTGCCCTGAGAGTCACAGGGGTGGTGGCGTGAGGGCGGAAAGCTGTATTCCATGGAGTGCCACGTGCTTGCTATCAAACTAGACTGAAAAACCTGCTGTTCCCAAGCCGTGGAGAGGGCCTATTCTTGAGCCACTGCAGACCTGAATCTGAAACATAAAAGGGAAGTTGAGCCTAACTCTGGTTAATAAGGTTTTTATTTCCTGCGGGATACCTGCCCAGGAAAGATCCCATCTTTCATTTGAAAATGATCCTGTGGCTTTTGTGTTAACCCTTTGCTGTCCCATGTGCCTCTTTGCTGTCATCTTCTTTCCTCACCCTAAAGTAGATGGCATCTTGTGAGCTTAAGGAATAGCCCGGTAGACTTCCCTCTGTGGTGTCAAATCTTAACCACCTCTTCCTTTTCAGACATGCTTTGTTGATTGTTTGATCGAGCAGACACATCCGGAAATCAGAAAGCGCTACGACCAAGATGTAAGTAGCGCTTGTGTTGGGGTCTCAGTGAACCCCTGCTGGGCTTTGTGGATGTCTGCTTCCCCTTCCTTCTCCCTTCCACTCTTTACAAATAATGATACCTGCTGAGTGCTGCTGTATGATTTTGATCTCTATTAGTAGGCTATGAGGAAATAATTTCAGTTTTCTCAGGGCACCGAGCGTATTAACCTAAAGTATTTGCAACTTATCTGTTCTATACCAGGGATTCCTCTCTGTTATGATACATTCTAACTTCTGTTATCTAGCCATTCCTGTCACAGTATTACTAGCGTGCTCTATAAATACCATGCAGTTGGACCTTGTTGTTTGCATGGTGAATTTAAATGCCTGTGAAGGAAGCTGAATGTGGCTGCAAGTCTCAGTGCAATAAAGGTTCAGGCTCAGCCGGACTGGCTGTTTTGACAAGGGGATTCCTTAAAGGTTGATCTATGTGTCTCTGTGCAGTGCATCTGGTAGAATCCAATCTCTAGCCAGGCCTGCTCTTCAGTACCCACCCACCCCCGGCCCCCAGATACACAGCTGCGCACAACCAGCGCTTGCCAGTTGGGGAGGCACTTGGCTCACTGTCTGCAGGGGCCATGGGGACACTCTGCTGGCTTCAGTCTCTTCTCCTGAGACAGAAACCCTGGAGTAGTGATGGAGGGAGGGAAGTGGCTGATGGTTTGTGTGTGGGAAAGGAGTCTGAATTTGGGAGGTGATGACTTTTTTTTTTTTTTTCCAGCTGTGCTATACTGACATCCTCTTCACTGAGCAGGAGGTAAGCAGCCCTGGGAACTCAGACAGTCGCCCACGTGAGACTCAACAGCATTGATTCTGAGGGGGAATGTCAGAGAACGGAGCCCTTTGGCTCACACTCACTGCCTCCCTCTCTCAGCCCTGCCTCAACATCTCTTATCTCCCTGCTTCTCCTAGTCATCCTGGGGTTAGAACTGGATAGGGCAGCTGTAGAGTCAGGAAGGGGGTTCTTGGCCTTGACTAGATTTAATTTGCCTCAGAAGTACAGATACTAAAGAAATGATGTCTAGATTTATTCTGTAAATTATTAAGGAGCACCATGTAATTTTTAAAATGGCATCGTCCCTGGCTGGTGTGTAGCAGGTAAAGCTGCAGCCTGCGATTCTTGCATCCCATATGACTGGCAGCTCCACTTCTAATCTAGCTCCTGGGTGTAATATGCCTGGGAAGGCAGCAGAAGATGGCCCCAAGTACTGGGTTCCTCTTTACCTGAATAGAAGACCTGAAGGAGTTCTGGACTCCTGGCTTTGGCCTGGCCCAGCCCCAGTCGTTATGTCCATTTGGGGTGTGAACCAGTGGATGGATGGAAGGTCTGTCTTTTGTTACTCTGCTTTTCAAATATAATAAAATAAGTCTAAAAAGGGGGAGGGTAGGTAGCCACATTCAGACATGTCAGCATAATTGACTAGTTGGCAAACCCCAAGAGCAGAACGAAGATGCATTGAGCTCTTTGTGATTTTCAGAGAGGCGTTGGCATCAAGAGCACTCCCGTGACGGTGGTCTTGCCAGACACCAAAGGAAAGTCTTACCTCTTCAATATCATGGACACCCCAGGTGAGCTAGGGCTGGACTTCACTCCGGCGGCCTTGACTCTTTCCAGGGCATAATGGAATAATAAGTCTTTGTTTTGATATTCTTTTTACGTTCATGAGATAATTTTCATTTGAACTTTTGTCTTTGCTTCTGATCCGATAGTTAGCAGGCACTGTGCTTTCAGGCCTTCTGTCTGCTCCTCTCTGTATTCTCCTGCAGACTGTGAATTTTAGGGAATCTGCACTTTACCCTTCGTTGCAGCATCAGTCTCAGACACCTGCCAGGAGCTGTCTTTCTTGAGAAAGGTCTGCCTTTGCTCGCCTGCTGGCCCCTGGATTGTCCCCCGCCCCATGGGCTCTGCTCGCTGCCAGTTGGACTATGCTGAGCTAGGAGTGTGCACTCACTGTGCCCGTCTTTCTGCTTTTCCTGTTGTATAACAGCAGAGTCCCAGCATGTCATTTTAAGGAGAGAAATCTTTACACTGCAGGGCGGTATGGGGAGCAGACCAGAGGCACCCCTGAGCTCTCATCCTGCATATTCATGGTGTGACTTGCTCTGTTTTCTTCTCAGGACATGTGAATTTCTCGGATGAAGTCACAGCTGGCTTGCGCATTTCGGATGGGGTGGTGCTTTTCATTGATGCTGCTGAGGGGGTGAGTTTTGCCAAGCCACCATCCTCAGGCCCAGAGCGCTCAGCAAGCTGGGCACGTTGGAATGGGTAGTCTGTGACATTAGATTTGTTCTAATATTAAGGCAGAAAATTAAGTTCAGAATTAATTCTCAGAACCGATCTCCTTTCTCCCTTGCCTAGTCAGGCTGAACATGTTCGGATCCACTGTCATTCAGGAAGCATAAAGATGAGATGACAAATGTAAATAAAAGGAGGAGAGAGTACCTTCATATAATTGGATTTTAAATGTTAATGAGTTTTCCTAAGAGATTGCCATTGAAAGGCCAGCATGTCTTTTTATTTCTGAATTTATAGATTGGCTAACCTTGTTTTTGTTGTCATTGGGGAGATAGCCAGCAGGGGGAGCCAGAATTGTCTTTTTTTAATTGACTATTTTGAAGTAATTTCAGACTTGGCAAAAAGTTACATAAATAATGCAAGAACATCACTCGCATTTGCTTTGTAATTCTCTGCACATGTACACACACAGACACAGGTGCATGTGTATTTTCTCCTTGAGCCATTTAAAAATAATTCAGTAGTTTCCAAGAGCAAGCCATTTGCTTACCCAACTATAGCATAGCTACCTAAGTCAGGAAATTTAAGATTGAAACAACACTATTAAATATGCATTTTTACTTTTGTAAGATTTATTTATTTTTCATAATCATTTTATTTTTATGATGTCCACATAGCTGAGAGATGCATGCATTGGAACCATCAATTAAGGTGGGGATGGGGTGAGGAGGCTCAAGGAATGGGAGAAAATGGATGAGACAACTGCCTCCAATCTTTTCTGTGTGGAAAGTGGGGAGAGGAGGGCTGCTCTCAGCAGCCCAGCTGGATCAGCACCTGGGATGGGGGATGGCCACCTGATGTCATTGTGAGGTTCCTGCTGTAGAGCATGTTTTGAAGGTGCTGCTTAAGTGGTTTTGATAGTCCTGAGATGCCGTTGATTTCATTGCTCCGAGGTTGAGGAACTCCTTCCAAGGTTCATTGGTTGACATAGTCCACTTAAAGTCTCTCCCAAATACTCGTGCTCAAAGTTTGACTGGGGAAGAGCTGTCCAACTTGTTCTGCCCTCCGTGGTACTGAACATCCTCTACAGGTCTCAGTGAACTGGTTGTCATGTCCTGCCTGAGCATCTGGGCATGCCATCTACTGCACAGTCCTCACAACCGTGGAGACCCAGTTCTGACAAATGCACTCCGTGATCCCGTGATTTTCACCATGGTTGGAGTTCTGAGTCCAGCGATCCCGGGGTGGTCCCTGAAGAGACCTTACTGGAAGTTAGCCCAACCTGAGTCCTGTGTTAGCCAGCCCCTGCAGGATCCAGCTCAGTCCATCACCCTCATCAGCATACGTACGCAGTGGTGCTGTACTCACCTCATCAGTCTGTCCCCAGCTCCATCTCGTACACAAACCAGTGGCTGCTGCGGACCAGCCTAGTCCTGCCCACCACACATTTGGCTTTCATACACACCAGCAGGAACTACAACCTAATCAGAATGACCTCCAATACCCGCCACCAGGGCCAACCCCAGTTCCTGCATATGATGGTGTGTGCAGCAGACTGGGCCAGTCTGTCCTACATTTCATTTGGCTCTTGCATATGTCAGTGGGCGTTGGAGCCTAGCTTAACCCAACCAACTCTGCTGCCGCTGGCCCTGGCTCTTATGCTCAGGAGCTACAGCCCATCAGAGAAGTGCCCACCATTTCCCTACTAGGCCCACTCCCAGCCCCGGAGCTTGCATTTTGCCAGTAATTCTGTGGTCTAGTCTGACAAAACTTGCCCCTAGTTCCAGCACCTGCTAGCCAATGCTGCAGCAAAGCCTGACCAGCCTGCACTTGCTCTGGTCCATGCATGGGCCAGTAGGTAATCATTTACCCTATCCTAGCTCTGCCCCTATACCAGCTCACATGTAAGCCAACTGGCTTTACAGTCCTGCCCAGCCTGGTCTGCCTTTAGTGCCACTTCTCAGGCTCACCAGTGAGAGCATTAATCTAGCAGGGAAACTCCCATAGCTCCCCAGCTAGGCTTGTCCCCCTTTGTGGGTCTTAGCCCCCACATTTACCTGCAAGTGTAGTAGACAGGTTGGTACCTGTCACATTCTCCCTCAGCAATCCTCCCTCCACACATTTCCAGACATGCTTTCCTGTGCTGTGCAGATCCCCAGCCCAGTCTTCCAGCAGTGTGCCATGCCAGCCTGGGGCCCTGCCTTCCTACCCAGGGCCTGTGCATACTCGCACATGGGTCCCCAGACCCTGTCTGCTGGCGTGCAGGCACCTGTCCCCAACATATTCATTTATGATGTTTACAGAGTTAACCAGGGTGAGAAGGGTCAAGGACTAGAGAAGGGTGACTGAGACCATTGTTTCCAAATCTTCCTCTTCCTCCTGTATCTAGGGGAAGGGGCATATTAGGATAGAAGCTGCACCCAGACTCCCTGCCACCTCAGTACTCGGGGATGGGGAATGGCCACCCAATGCCATCCCAGGGTCACTGATGTGAACCCTCATATATCTTTTCTTAAAAACATTTTTTTTATTAAAGATTTATTTATTTTTATCACAAAGTCATATATACAGAGAGGAGGAGAGACAGAGAGGAAGATCTTCCATCCGATGAGTCACTCCCCAAGTGACCTCAAGAGTCGGTGTTGCACCAATCCAAAGCCAGGAGCCAGGAGCTTCTTCCAGGTCTCCCATGTGGGTGCAGGATCCCAAGACTTTGGTCCATCCTCGACTGCTTTCCCAGGCCACAAGCAGGGAGCTGGATGGGAAGTAGAGCTGCCAGGATCAGAACTGGCACCTGTATGGGATCCCGGCGCGTTCAAGGCGAGGACTTTAACTGCTAGGTCATGACGCCAAGCTCAACCCTCACATGTCTTTAAAGAAAAAGAAATAGAATGGGTAACTATGCTGGCACAGTGATATAGTTAACACACAAATTTAGCATTAACCAGGTCCAAGATGCCTGCCAGCTATTAGCTGCTTTTCTTCTAGCAGTATAACACTTATGTAAGTACAATACAACTTTAGCAGTTGCCAACAGTTGGGGAAGATTTATTTTTATTTTTAAAAGATTTATTTATTTGGAAGGCAAATTGACAGAAAGAGACCTTTAATCTGCTGGTTCACACCCCAGTGACGTTAGTAGCCAGGTCTGGACCACTCTGGAGTCAGGGGCCAGGAACTGCATCCCGGTCTCCCATTGGGTGGCAGGAGCCAGGTACCTGGGCCATCTTACATAGCCTTTCTGAGCACATTGCCAGGAAGTTGTAAATGGAGTAGTCAGGACTTAGACTAGTACTAAGAAGAGACGCTAGTGTCTAGGATGTCAGCTTCGCAGCTTAGCTCACTGTGCTACAACATGGGCCCCTGTGGTATCGGCACCTTTAAAGCATGCTGGGCGTTTATTTTGTAGAGTTTTGCTCTTTCTGGGTTTCCCTGATGTTTCGCCTGATTAGGGTCAGGTTATTCTTGGCAGGGATATTACGTAAGCAACGTTGTTCTTACTAGTTCTTCACATCCGGACGTTACCTTGTCCCGTATCTGGTAATATTAGCTTTGATCACTTGCTTACAGTGGGTCAACCAGATTTTTCTAGCATACAGTTATCATTTTCCCCATGTGTTTAATGGATATAGATATAAATACCGTTATCCGTTTGTCTATCTGTATATGTATAAGTGTGCTGTGAACCTATAAATATATTTTGTTTTAATTGAACTTTACTTTTTATTTATTTTTTATTTAAAGAAATATTTATTTTTATTAGAAAAGTGGATATACAGAGAGAAGGAGAGACAGAGAGGAAGATCTTCCGTCTGATGGTTCACTCCCAAGTGTCTGCAACGGTCGGTGCTGAGCCGATCTGAAGCAAGGAGCCTCTTCCAGGTCTCCCACACGGGTTCAGGCTTTGGGCTATCCTTGACTGCTTTCCCAAGCCACAAGTAGGGAGCTGGATGGGAGGCAGGGCCTTCGGGACACGAACCGGCTACCATTTATATATTATCAGTGTGGATACATGGACTTCTGTTTTATTCAGAGGTTGTCATCCATAACATTCCTTATAGATTTTGGGGTTCTCATTGTTTCAGATTTGGCTTCTAAGAGTTCCTTCAGGCTGGTTCCCTCAGTCTTTGACCTGTCCCATCTTTTTGAGCACTTCATTACTTTCATGCACAGAAAAGTGTTCTAGCCTTGTCTTGGACTATCATTGCCTCAATCTTGAATTGGCTACTTCTTCAAGGAGCTCTGGTTGCTATTGCTTTATTATTATTTATTTTTATTTTTATTTTTATTATTAACTTATTTATTCGAAAGTCTGATTTTACAGAGAGAGTTCTGTATCTGCTGATTCATCTCCCAAATGGCCACAGTGGCTGGAACTAGGTTAGTCTGAAGCCAGGAGCCAGGAGCTTCTTCTGGGTCTCCCACACAGGTGCAGGGTCCCAAAATTCTGGGCCATCCTTGACTGCTTTTCCCAGGCCAGAAGCAGGGAGCTGGATGGGAAGTGGAGCTGCCGGGATTAGAACTGGCACCCAAATGGTATCTCAGCACGTTCAAAGCAAGGACTTTAACCACTGTGCTATCACGCCGGGGCCAAAGTGAGATCTTAAATGTACTGGTTCACTTCTCCCAATACCCAGAACAGCCAGGGATAGACTATCATGGAGCCAGGAGCTCCTCCGGGTCTGCCATGTAGGTGGCAGGGCCCAGGTACTTGGGCTGTCATCCACTGCCTTCCTAGAAGGCTAGATTGGAAGCAGAGTAGCTGGGGCTTGAACTGACCTCCAACATGGGCTGTTGGCACCACAGACAGCAGTTTAATCTGATGTGCCAGCCCAGCTCTGGCTTCTTAACTGTGGCACTGGTGTTTAGGAGCAGGCATCTAGGTGCACTGCCTGTTGCTCTTGGGTTCCATTGCTGATAAGCTCTCTCAGTCTTTGTTTCTCTGAGCATTTCTACCGTTCAAATAAGACAGACAGATACATAGGTGAATGTTTCTGCAAACTTATCCGTGTGCGCTCATGCCTCGGCTCCTCTGGCAGCACGGTTCTTGTCTGCTGCATTACCCCCCCAGCCCCGCAAAGCCCCACGTGGGCACCCTGCTCCTATGCATCTTGGTCCAGCAAGGGCAGCTCCCCAGGCTGCTTCCACATCAGCCTTTTGGCGGGTGCTCTCGGCTTCCCCAGGGGCTCTCACCCCTCGGGTCTGAGGTTTGTAAGTGGTGCTCTCTGTCCCTTCTCTGGCCCCTCTTCTCCCAGCTCTCTCACCACCTTCAGGGCCTCCTGTTTCTCAGGTGATGCTGAACACGGAGCGGCTGATCAAGCACGCAGTGCAGGAGAGGCTGGCCGTCACCGTGTGTATCAACAAGATTGATCGGCTGATCCTGGAGCTGAAGCTGCCTCCGACCGATGCCTATTACAAGCTGCGCCACATTGTGGATGAGGTCAATGGATTAATAAGGTAGGAGGCTGCTGAGAGGGGAATTCGTCCTCGGGGACTCTGGGTTTTTATGAATCTTAATTTTACCCTTGAATACCTTTGGGAGTAACTCGGATTTATTTCTTGACAAGTGTTGATGAGCTTGTCAGGTGAGACTAGAGGCACATTTCCAGTATCTGTAGGGATTGACTGTATGGCCTTGACCTCATTAACTCTGTTTTAGCCAGTTGTTACCTTAACACATCTTTAATTTAGTGTCATGGGCAATACCTTGAACCTAGGATTGCTCTCATCCTCACCACATACCAACTAGGTGAAGTGGGGAAATGACTTCTGCTTGCAAAAAGTTGGGCAAATTATGTAAGCTCAGTTTCAGTTTCTGTTTAAAAAAAAAATGGAATGATGGTAATATTTGCCTAGAGGCATGTTGCAGGAAATTAAATAAAGGCTGTCTCCTCCACAGGCCAGAGGGTGTGCTGGGTGACTCCTGAACCCCGTGACTGAGGGCACATCTGTGCAGCTGAGGGTAGTGATGGCGCCAGCAGGGCTGTGGGCTGCTGCCTCAGGCAACCGCCCTGCGTGGAGCACTGGTGCTTACCAGGAGGATTTCAGAATGCCTGGAACCCCACGTGGTATCCTGGGTCCAAAAGCAGTAATGAACTTGTTTTTAAAAGGAGGGTTCTGGGTGGGATGGTCCTAAGTCCTGACTGCCAGAATAGAAAAATGAGAAGGGCATGTTTTAAACTTCAAACCAGGCAAAGTAGCACAGACATTATTTAGAAGTATGGAGGTAAGGACTGCACAGCAGCTGTAAAAAGGATTGAAACCACTCAGCACTGAGGAGCAGCAAAGGGGTGGAGTGCAAGGGGGAAGAGGACTGTTCTTTGTCAGCTCTTGTCTTTTCCGAGTCAGAGAATCCCTGCAGTCAGGATGGAGCTGGAGGTGTGGTCCCTGTGTGTAGCTGGTCTCTTTACAGGTGTTAGTGAGATTGGGAAGTGCTTGTGGTTTCTGCATGGCCTTTTCAATTCAGAGGACTAGTGTAAATGTGTAGAAGAAAGTCAAAAACTGTAGAGTTGAGAAGAGAGGAAGGAGAAGTAGCTTCTCTTAATGTCTGTTTGTGTTTGTGAAATTGAGATTTCTCTCAAAATGTATTCCTTTCTTACCACATTAGCTTCATTTCCTGTCTCCCAAGGTCTTTGCCTCTGTCCTCCAGATTTTCCCTTGTCTGTCTGATGTGGTTAGCTCTTCCAAGGTTGTGCAGTACATTCCCGACTCTGGGAAGTCTGCTTGTTACTGAGAGTTAGGGAACGACTCCATCATGTCACTTCCTTGGACCAGACTGTTGGCCAGACTGAATGTCTTATGCAAGTTCCTCCTGGGGGCTGGACAGCGGCTGTTCTAAACACTGCCACCCCTCCCCGGTGGCAGAGGGCCAAGGCCTGGCCTGGCGCTCACTCTGTATCTGTTTCAGCATGTATTCCACCGATGAGAACCTGATCCTGTCCCCACTGCTGGGCAACGTCTGCTTCTCCAGCTCCCAGTACAGCATCTGCTTCACGCTGGGCTCCTTTGCCAAGATCTACGCTGACACCTTCGGTGAGCTCGGGCTGGTGCTGCCTTGCCAGCCTCCCCTGGGTCTGGTGTGCTGTGCCCTGAGTGGCTTCGCAGGAAGCCCTGCTGGAAGAAGAGTGTTTTAGTGCCTGTTACACTTACATCTGGGCCTCTTTTTGGTCTCTGGATCAAAAGGGGCCAAGTGGTCTCCAAACACTAGGAAAACAAATGTGACACAAGACCTGGTAGAGGAGGAAGCTGGGAGTGAGTCACCAGGCGCCCAGGGCCCTTTAGGCCACTTCTCCCAGGTGACCAGCCCTCACCACATGGTTTCAACTTCTGGCGACTCCCACTGGCTCTAGACGCATGCACATCTGCACGCTGAGAGCTCACACTGGACGTGCAGTCAGTCAGCTTCTGCAACAACCCCAGCTGGTTTCCCTAGGTGTGTGCAGTCTCTGGGCCTGGCCTCCTGGCTGCCTGCTCCTGTGCGTCCGGTTACTGTAGATTCCAATAGAGTCTGTTGTGTGTCACATCCCCAGAGGGGAGTTGCCAGTACCCTGTTTATAGAGCTGATGGGGCAGGCCCTGGTAGGTCTCCCTCTTTTGTTATTTTTTGTACAATAAATTATGTTACTTAGGCGTAAGGAGTCTTCAGAAAGTTCACAGAAAACGTACATTATGAAAAATTACATATGGATTTCCAAATACTTTATACCAATTTAAACTTCCATCCTCTGATTCATTCCCCAAATGCTAACAACTGCTCAGAGCTGGTCCAGACTGAAACTAAGAGCTCAGAACTCAAGCTGTGTCTCCTGTGTGGGTGCAGACCTAGTGCTTCTAGTGCTTCTAGGGGGTACGTCAGCAGGAACCTGGATGGGAAAAGAAGAGTCAGGACTCGAGCTCAGGTATTCCAGGTAGGATGCAGGTACCCAGGGGCCTCTTAACTGCTGCAGAGACAGGGCTCTGACCCACTGGCTCACTCCCAAATGCTGCAGCAGCCAGGGCTAGGTCAGTATTCAGCTAGGGCTAAAGCTGGGAGCTGAAATCCAATCCAGATCTCCTGCAAGTGGTAACAACTGGATTACTTGAGCTGTTACCACTGCCTCTTAGGGTTTGTGTGCTACAAGAACTCTGGGCTCAGAAAAATCTGGACTTCTCACCTCCTCCTGCCCCCAAGAGATTTATTTATTTATTTATTTATTTATTTGAAAGGCAGAGCTCAGAGAGAGAACTTTTCCATCTGCTGGTGAACTCCCCGGGTGATCACAACAGCCAGAGTTGGGCTGATCCAAAAGCAGAAGCTAACTCTGGGTCTCCCTCTTGGGTGCAAGGGCCCAAGTACTTGGGTCATGCTCTGCTACTTTCCCAAGCACATTATCAAGGAGCTACATCAGAAATGGATCAGCCAGAACTTGAACAAGTGCCACTATGGGATACCAGCACTTGCAGGTGAAGGATTAGCCAGTTGAGCCACTGTGCCATGGTTAGTTGGTTCACTAGATCAGGATTAGCACTTAACAGTCAAACTGAGAAGAGTGAGAAATGAGATGCAGGTTGGGTATGACTGCTTACTAGAAGCTTGAAGCTACCTAGGGCCTAATGGTAAAGCTGCAGCTGGAAGGTTGTATTCACTGGCCACAGAGCAGAGCTTCTCTGGATTGGGAAAGGACAGAGGACCCTTAGGCTCACTCCAGGAAGGCACAGGTGTAAATGCAGATAGAGGGTGTGTGCTGGCAGCTGAGCCTGTCCGTCATAGCGAAGGCTGGGAACTGCACCCTTGTCCACATCTCCTGGTGCTTGCTGGAAGTGAGATGCTAAGCTCCTGTATTAGGCACAGCATGGCCTTAGCAACTGTGGGCCTTCTCTGTATCTTCTTGCCTTGGTGTCCCTGTCTCTCCCCTGGTTAGAAGGATATTTCTGGATCCCAAAAAGGAAAGGCTAAAATTCTTCAGCTGCGAACCATTTATGGCATCTGAAACAGTTTTGAGCAGTGCTTTGCTAGGTAGATTCTAACTGTCCTCCTTTTGTTATAGGTGATATTAATTACCAGGAATTCGCTAAAAGACTCTGGGGTGATATCTACTTCAACCCTAAGACGTGAGTAAAGTGCGGGATGTGACTCTGGGAGGTTGATCCATTTTCCCAGTGAGAGCAATCAGAGAAAGAACTCCCAGCACAAACCCCTGTCTTTCCCCTGAGGGAGTTGGCCCTCTGAGCTCCAACCTAGCAAAAGGCTGTCCCCGGGGGTCCCCAGGCCACTGGGACAGGTAGGAGGGGAAGGTGGTAACTACAGGTCCTCTCAGGAGGCTGGCTTTGGGAACTTGACAATCTCATACACAGTCTTCTCCTGGACTCTGGATCAGATCCAGAGCTCACAATACATCCTCGGAATTAGGGACACGCCTTCCCTCTCCTGCTTACTCCCAACTCTGTTATTGTTCTTAAAATGTTATTGTTTACTTTAGAGACAAAGAGACAGAGAGTTCTCTTCTGCCATTTCATCCCCAAATAACTGCAGTGGCAGAGATTGGCTGGGCTAGAGCCAGGAGCCAGGAACTCAGTCCAGATCTCCCCTGGGAGTGTGATAGGGACCAGGACTCAAACCCAGGAACTCCTGTAAGGGATGCAGGTGTCTCAACTGAAGTCTTAACCATTAGCCAAAAGCTCATCCCTACCATTTTAGGCGAAAATTCACTAAAAAAGCCCCAACCAGCAGTTCCCAAAGAAGCTTTGTGGAGTTCATCCTGGAACCGCTTTATAAGATCCTTGCTCAGGTAAGTGATGGGCCTCTGGATTCAGTTTGCTGTTTTAAGCACGACGTCAAAAAGCTAGTAAATGTGATCTTTGCATGTCCCACACATCTGTTCAGTGCTTCATTTATTTGAAAGCCATTTACAGAGAGAGAGATCTTGCATTTGCTGCTTCAATTCCCAGATGTTTGCAATAGCTGGGGCTGTGCTAGGCTGAAGCTAGGAGCCAGGAGCTTCCTCCAGGTCTCCCATATAGTAACAGCAACCCAAATACATAGGCCATCTTCCACTACTTTCTCAGGCTATTCGTAGGAAGCTGGATTGGAAGAGGAGGATCCAGAACTCAAACCAGTTCCTATGTGGGATGCTGGCATCTTAGGTGATGGCTTTACCACTACTCCACAATACTAGCCCCTGCATGAACTGTTCTTTGCATATTCTGGGTGTACCGATAAGCAGTGTTTTGTTTATCAGAATGAAACTGGAGCACAGAGTATAAGAATGTGCTTCAGGGCCTGGCAGCATGGCCTCGCCTTGCACTCACCCGGATCCCATATAGGCACTGGTTCTGATCCTGGCAGCTCCACTTCCCATCCAGCTCCCTGCTTGTGGCCTGGGAAAGCAGTCAAGGACGGCCCAAAGCCTTGGGACTCTGCACCCATGTGGGAGACCTGGAAGAAGTTCCTGGCTCCTGGCTTTGGATCGGCGCAGCACCGGCTCTTGAGGTCACTTGGGGAGTGAATCATCGGACGGAAAGATCTTCCTCTCTGTCTCTTCTCCTCTCTCTATATATCTGACTTTCCAATAAAAATAAAATAAATATTTTTTAAAAAAAGAATGTGCTTGAACGTGTGGGATACTCAAAGAAAAGACTGAGTTGTCACAGACATGAACTTGGGCGATGCAAATGTGGAGCTAAACAGGGAACAGTGTTGTGTAGGGAATTTTTTGCAGACATGTGTCCCAAGACAGTACTGAAATATGCAGGTATTTAATAACTGCTCTGCACAGTGCACACACACAAACCTACATGGAATGTGTGTGGCCGTTCCAGTTGACAAAACAGCCAAGCATAGCAACAAGACAAATAGCAATTAAAATTCATTAGTGCCAAAAAGTATTTAGTATCTCCTGTCAGATCGGAATGGATTAATAAAATAAATTTATGTGCTCTGTTCCGTGGAGACCTAGAGGCTGCTGAGGACAGTTTAACTTGGCCCTGTCCCACAGGGTGGACTGCTAGGTGACCTTTTTTGGTTCCTTCCAGCATAGTCCTCTAACTCTGCTCTCCAAATGGGGGTTGGGGGGAATCCCTGAGTGGGAGTTGCTGCCTTTCAGAACACCAGGGGGCAGCACTGACAGCAGGCAAGCCGTATGCCTTGGTGTAGATGGGGAGACTCCCCTAAGCCAGACTTACGCTGCCTAGAGCGCTCCTGGTAGAAGACAAAGGTGTAGAGTCACTCCTCATTGTGCCTCCTGGCCTGCTCTTGCCCTCCTCTGAGGCCCTATGCCAGGGTATCACTGCAGCTGTTGTGTCCGCTGCCCTCCAGGTGGTGGGCGATGTGGACACCAGCCTCCCGAGGACGCTGGATGAACTGGGCATCCACCTGACCAAGGAAGAGCTGAAGCTGAATATCCGCCCTCTGCTCAGGCTGGTCTGTAAGAAGTTCTTCGGCGAGTTCACAGGTAGTGAGGGGCGCCCAGCACTACACGTTTCCAGCCCCATGCCCTGCCGTGGGGGTCATTAGAGTCACAGGTCTGAGGCTTTTTCACACAAGCTACAGTCAGGGGTGCACAACACCCATTTCTCCCCCAACTTCTCTGTGTAGCAAACAGCACCAAAAATTGTACTTTGTGAACCAGGAGCAATTGAGTTTGCTTTCCAGGAGAATACAAGTAAAGGAGAAGGGGCAGCCGGAAGGGTGCCTGGTGGTGTGAAATAGTGGGCGGGGCTGGTGGCGTTGGCTTACAAATGCGAGCTTGTCTTGCTGAGCTCCTCCCTCTTACCTGTTAGGAAAGCAGAGCAGCCTGGTAAATAGCAGTGCACACAGTGCTTCTCCCAGGGATCAGGTGAGGGATTGTTTTCAACAGGCCTGGGAGGAGGACCCAGGGGACTGAGCTGGCTGTTCCAGGGTTGCTGGAGACAGTGGAGGTCTTTGTAAGCTGGGTCCCAGGAACTGTTCCTAGGAAACAGTCATGTCTGCCTGGGATCCTCATTTCATCACCACTGGAGCCACAGGTCCATCCCCTGACCCTGAGCTTCCTGACCATCAGAAGTGGATCTGGAACTCTAGTTCACTGCCCCAAGAGGATGCATAGTAACGGCTTCTCTTCTCCCTCCTCAGGCTTTGTGGATATGTGTGTGCAGCATATCCCTTCTCCAAAGGTGGGCGCCAAGCCTAAGATTGAACATACTTACACTGGTGGTGTGGATTCTGATCTCGGCGAGGCCATGAGCGACTGTGACCCTGATGTAAGGGGATGTGTCCTCTCCCCACCCCCTTGGTTTTCTGCTGTCTCCCTGCCCTGACCCCAGGGACAGAGTTGGGTCTGAACTCCAGCCCACCATGGCCACTACTGGCATTGGCACCTTAGGAGCACCACTTGTACGTTCTGCATCTCGAGGCCCTGGGATGTAGAATGGGTGGTAAACCCCGAATGCCACCTGGGAGAATCGGGCAGATGAAGGGAGGGTTTCAGTTGTGTTAAGCTTGGTCCCTGGCAGCCAACAAAGGCCCAACAAATGGAAGTTAATCTTGTCAGTCAAGGCTTTTAAAAGCATCTCTCCCAGATGGTCCTTAGGCCATTTAGTTTCTTGTCATAATCTTATTGCCAGTGTGGAATTGTGAGTTATGTCTTTGGAGAACATTTGAGGAAAGTTGTCCCATCATAGTGTCAATCTGCCATCCCAAACCTGCTTCTGCTCCTTACTGCCTTATTCCCCAGAAGACAGAGATTTTTCTCAAGTCCTTTAGGCTTGAGATTTTTCCTCAGAGCTCATGTCTTCCTGTAAGTCTGGGCTGCCGTCTCCTAGAGCTCATGTTATTGTCATGGAGGGCATGGAGACAGTAGCACCTCCTTCAAGGAGGTGTGTGGCTGAGACTGCTCTCCTCCCCTCCTCCAGGGCCCACTGATGTGCCACACCACTAAGATGTACAGCACGGATGATGGAGTGCAGTTTCATGCCTTTGGCCGGGTGCTGAGTGGCACCATCCATGCTGGGCAGCCCGTGAAGGTGCTGGGGGAGAACTACACCCTAGAAGACGAGGAAGACTCTCAGATATGCACTGTGGGCCGCCTCTGGATCTCCGTGGCCAGGTACCACCATTCAGCGAGCTAGAGGGGGTGGGCCTCCATGGTAACAGTCGCGCCTGAACCATACAGTTGAGAGTAGAGGTGACCTGACCCTGGCCAGCTGCTCGACTTCCGACTGTCACTACTTCAGAGTGCTGGGAGTGCTAGGCCAACCAGCAGCTGTTGTTGGGATAGTGCCAGAATCCTTGCTTTTATGATTGAGATGACTGCATGAACTTTTGTAGCAGAATTTCCATCTTTATTCATCTTAATCCTCTTCATTTCCTCTTTTATGTGCTTAAGTTATTACTTCCATGTTTATTCCAGAGAGAAATTGTTTCCCACCCTCTACTGTTTATGTTTTGACCAAATTAGAAGTCTTTGCTAGATCCCTAGAACATCCCAGTCCGCAGAGTGGAGCTGAGCTTGGGCCTCTGGGAGGCTTGTCAGTTTGAGGTCGGTATCTTAGTTGGCAGGCAGAACCAAAAGCAGGCCTGTTACCTGATGTGGCTCTCTGTGCCTCAAGCAAGGCATCTTTGTTCCCTGGAAGGCAGAAAAAGGTGGAAGCGCTGGGGCAGTTGAAGTCTTCAGCTGTGCTCTTGGCCTCTGCTTATGGCATCACCTTGGGCAGCAGCTCTTAACCATGAGCCTCCAATTGCAGTTGGATATTCCTGTTCAAAGTATTCATGGCTTGTGACATGTTTGCATGGTTATGTGATTGATTGTTGCATCTCTCCCCTGCTAGAATGTATCTGTTTTGTTCTCCCCTGCTCCCAGCTTGTGCCTGGCTCATAGCCAGTGCTCAGTGTGCTTTGGTGAAATGTACACAGTCACTCATGATTGGGTTTTACCCCAGGTACCACATTGAGGTGAACCGTGTTCCTGCAGGCAACTGGGTACTGATTGAAGGTGTTGATCAACCAATTGTGAAAACAGCAACCATTACTGAACCCCGAGGCAATGAGGAGGTAGAGTGTCTCAAGAGACCAACTAAGCTGGCTTGAGGTGTGGGTCCCAAGAAACCCCTCCCTGTGCACAAGAACAGCAGGCAGCAGAGCTCATGAGCCCACGCCAGGGCTTGGCCATCTAGACCAGAGCTTCCTGAATTTTCCCTGTGCTGCCTCAGATGCTGCTCTTTCTTCTGCTCTTAGTTCTGCTGAAACACGGGGGACAGATGCTCCTCAGGGTAGCACCGTGATTCCTGACGGGGGAGTGGAATGGCCCCTGTCAGGTCCATGACCTAGACTCTTGGCTGCACCTGCTAGGTCCATACAGGCAGATGCCCTAACTCCTCTACATTTTGATCCCAGGCTCAGATTTTCCGGCCATTGAAGTTCAACACAACCTCTGTGATTAAGATTGCCGTGGAGCCAGTGAACCCGTCAGAACTCCCCAAGATGCTCGACGGCCTGCGCAAAGTCAACAAGAGTTATCCTTCCCTCACCACCAAGGTATGCCTGAGACCTGTGTGAACACTACTTCCTGACTCCCTGGCCTGTGCTGCCCCCAACTTCCTGGCCACTACCAGCAGCAGCTCACATCACTGCCAGAACCTGTGTTTAATTATCATTTAAAGCCAGGACAAGGACACTGTGTGTGTGTGTGTGTGTGTATGTTCCCCAGCTTGCATCACTCCCAGAGCCTGTGTGTTACTGTCATTTAAAAGCAGAATAAGAGTGCTGTGTGTGTGTGTGTGTGAGTTCCCCAAATTATTGTTATTTTTTAAGTGGGGGTGGATTTATTTACTTGAAAAGTAGTAGGAGGAAGAGAGAGGGATCTTCCATCTTCTCATTCATTGCACCAATGGCCAGCATGGCTGGAACTGGGCCAACCCAAACCAAAAGCTAGGAACTTTATCCAGGTTTCCGGTGTGGGTCCAGGGCCCAAGTACTGGACCGTTCTTCACTGCCTACCCAGGCACATAACCAGGGTGCTGGATCAAAAGTGCAGCAGACCAGATATGAATTGGTGCTTACACGAGATGCCAACATTGCACGTGATAGCTCAGTCTGCTTGCTGCAGTGCTGGCCCCTCCCTCCCTAAACAGCTCAGATGGGAATTCAGTGAGTAACCTCACTCCTAGTGGTCCCGGGGTCTTAAGGACTGATAGATAGGTGCTTCCCAACAGACCTTGGAGAGACTAGATGCTGCGCAATGGCTATGTCCTCTGAGCTGGAGGCACCTTCTCGTCTGCTTGTATCTGCTCTGCTGGCCCCAGGGAGTGCAGGTTCTGACCGCCTGGGCTGCTGTGTTGCAGGTGGAGGAGTCTGGTGAGCATGTGATCCTGGGCACCGGGGAGCTCTACCTGGACTGTGTCATGCATGACTTGCGGAAGATGTACTCAGAGATTGACATCAAGGTACGGTAGTGCCCATGCCTGGTCGGGAACTGGGCTCGCAGTTCCAGACTGCTTTGCCAGGAACTGTATCCTTGATTTCCCTGAAAGCTCCTTGGGCAGGGGCAGAGAGCTCACAGGAACCACTCTGTGGCTCCTTCCCTGAGAAGTTTCTGGAAGATTTGCTACCCTCCACTGGGTTGGTCTGCTCAAAGTCAAGGTGCCAAAATTCATCTTGGTGCTTTGCTGGGAAAATAATTGCACAATCTGTCCTGAATAGGGCTGAGTGGATGGTGTCCAGGGAAGTGGGCCGGGCTCCCCCGATTGAGTGTCTGGTCCTGGCATGGTTCTGTGGAAAAGTTGTGCCATCTCCTGGCTGAGACACACGTGCTCTCCAATGCCTTGTTCTGTTAGGGACGTATGCCCATAATACGCCTTTCACCTCCCTCCACTGTTGTGCTCCAGGCTGACACTGTAGAGGACACAGACCCTGTGGGAATGTTGGGAGGACATGACAGGTGAAGGTGGAGTGGGTGCTTGCCAGTGGGTCCCTAGCACCGCCCTTTCAGGCACACAGGGCTGTTGAACAGTGGTGGGAGATGGTTGAGTGGTTGTTGAAAGCCTCCCTGGAAGACTATGGTCAAGGCCCCAGGTGTCGCCCCCTCAGTTACTCTGACCTGGAAATCCTTTCCCTGCTCCGTTGAGATTGCTCAGGCCTCTTAGTGCAGTGCAGACTGTTGGGAGCTACTGTTGGTGTTTGTTACTAGTGCTGATGAATGCAAAAGGGACTTCTCACAGGGAGTGCAGGCAGCTTCAGAATCCCCGAAGGTAGGGCGTTGTCTTTGCAGGACCTGTGCCTCACCTCCATGCTTCATCTTATCTCCAGGTGGCCGACCCAGTTGTCACATTTTGTGAGACAGTGGTAGAAACATCTTCCCTCAAGTGCTTTGCTGAAACGCCCAATAAAAAGTAAGCTGGGAATTTGTGTTCCTGGGACTGAGTGCCTCATGGCCCTGCCCCTGCTCCACTCCCAACACAAGTGCTGTGGTGGTAGGGCTGTGTTAGAAAAATTGGCACGTGGGGTTCTTGATTTCAGCCCTGCTCCCCACGTGTGGCTTTGGACAGGTTGCTGCAGAATTCTGCACCCAAGGCCCTTCTAATAGTTTTGTCATTGTCACTTCTCTCTATAAACTATCTTAAAAATATGCTCCAAACTTTTCTTTTTAAGAAAATAGGTGAGTTTGGCTGCAGAAAGACAGAAGATGATCCCTTTTTGCTCTTCCCCACCCCTGTGTCTTTCACTCAAGTCACTGCAGCGGCTGTGCTTTATCAGCCTTGGCCCGCTAGCCCTGTGCCAGGCCTAGCATGCATGTCCTTTACCCTCTTTACCCATGCATTTCCTTCCTGCCAGGAATAAGATCACCATGATTGCCGAGCCTCTGGAGAAGGGCCTTGCCGAGGACATCGAGAATGAGGTGGTCCAGATCACGTGGAACAGGTGGGCTGACCTGCCAGTCTCCAGGCCTGAGCATCCTTCTGCAGGGCTGTGTGTCTCCCCTTTGCTGTATTGTCATCGGCACTGCACGGGTGGGATGTGGGCAGGTGCGTGGCCCCAGGAACCAACAGTCTAGAGCTGTGTGACACCTCGTTTCCCTCATTTCTCCACTTTCCCCTAGGAAGAAACTGGGCGAGTTCTTTCAGACCAAGTATGACTGGGATCTGCTGGCTGCCCGTTCCATCTGGGCTTTTGGCCCTGATGCCACCGGCCCCAATATCCTGGTGGATGATACTCTCCCATCGGAGGTACAGCAAGAAGCATGGGCACTGTGGGGTGCTGTCTAATGAAGGAGGGAATCCTCCTGGTGGGTGTGCTTGACTTGGAGCTTGCTAAGGCACCCCTGTGTTTCTGTGCAGGTGGACAAGGCTCTTCTTGGCTCGGTGAAGGACAGTATCGTTCAAGGGTTCCAGTGGGGAACCAGGGAGGGGCCCCTCTGTGATGAGTGTAAGTCTGTCAGAGCCTCCCCACCCCAGCTCCCGAGGGCTCCTGCACGCAGGTACACTGTGGGGGTGGGCTACCATCTTCTCCTGACAGGACAAGCAGTGTGAGGTACCCAGGACCAGCCTCATCCCCCTGGTGCCACTGCTGGGTGCTCCTGACTGGCATTTGCTCCTCTTCCCTCAAGAGGCTATGGCTCCGGGTGTGCTTGAGGAGGGATACGAGAGGACAATGAGATGGGCGTGGTTCCTGTGGGACTAGATTTGCAATTCCTGGAATCTGTTCTTTATCCAAAAATAAATTTTGCCATCTTCTGCTAACTAGGAAAGCCCCATGTGTTCAGTGTACCATCAGACCTCTTATCTGTTTCAATGCCCGGCTCTGGAATGACTTTTGTACCGGGTTTTTGGTGGCTGCTAGACAGCTGAGAGGTGGTGTGGCCTGGTGCCTCACCTCAGATTCCAACTCAGGTAGCTGTCTGTATCTCTTTTTCAGTGATTCGAAATGTCAAGTTCAAGATCCTGGATGCAATGGTGGCCCAGGAGCCCCTGCACCGGGGTGGGGGCCAGATCATCCCCACAGCCAGGAGAGTTGTCTACTCTGCTTTCCTCATGGTAAGAGTGTCTGGCTTCCCTGGATGGGGGGCCTCAAGACTGCACCTCCCCAAGCTAAGGAGGCTTTTCCTGCTCTGTTTCAGGCCACCCCACGTCTGATGGAGCCCTACTACTTTGTGGAGGTCCAGGCCCCTGCAGATTGTGTCTCTGCCGTTTACACTGTCCTGGCCAGGCGCAGGTTAGCATTCTCGGGCGTTTTGGGGGAGGGCTGGAAGCCAGAGGGAGCAAGGAGACAGGAGGTGCTGTGGGGAAGGAAAGATTGGACTCCCCAGCCTCTCGTCAAGGAACTTGGGGAGCTTGCTTTCCAGGAGAGAATAGGAAAGGAATGAGCTTGACTTCAGATTGCAGTTTGAGGAGATTCTTCTGAGTCCTCAACCCCAGCTCTCAGAGTCCCTGGCAAGTGGTGCTGAGGCAGGTCGGGGTAGGAATGTCTGCCGGACGCTGTCCCCTCAGGGGCCCTGCTCCTGCATTCTGCCCCAAGATTGCTGCCCCTCTGACTTGCACAAAGCCTTGCTCTGGGAGCCACAGCCTCCCTGTCTCCTGTTCGGCGTTTCCTTGTTGATTCTGCCTCCGGACTGGAATGTGTTGGGGACAGCGGAAGCAGCACTGCAGCTCAGCTTTGGCTTCTGCACAGCTTAGAGACTCAGCCTTTGTTGTTCTGTCTCAGGGGACACGTGACTCAGGACGCACCCATTCCAGGATCCCCACTGTACACCATCAAAGCTTTCATCCCAGCCATTGATTCCTTTGGTTTTGAGACTGATCTCCGCACTCATACCCAGGGACAAGCTTTTTCTCTGTCCGTCTTCCACCACTGGCAGGTGAGAAATCTGCTCGGGCCAACTGGTATAGATTCCTCCCCCTCGAGGCTAGTCACCTCGGCCCTGTTTCCCTTTCTTATCTCAGCAGCCCAGAGAGGAGTCCCGCTCCTGGGGCCTGACTTCTCTGGGAAGTCTGCCTGGACACCAGTTGATGCCCCTTTGTCTTCTAGATTGTACCCGGTGATCCCCTGGACAAGAGTATTGTCATTCGCCCCTTGGAGCCCCAGCCAGCTCCTCACCTGGCCCGAGAGTTCATGATCAAAACCCGTCGGAGGAAGGTATGTGTCCCTCAGGCCTGTGGTCATCCTTCAGCTCCCAGAGCGCTCTCCCCAAGGGCCTGTAGTCCGCAGCATATTGCCGTATGTAGGCAGCCACAAGGTGCAAAATCCTGGGGTTTGCTCTGGCCAGGAAAGGAGGCCTTCTGAGCTCCGATGAGCCCCTTCTAGCTCCACACCTCCCCGGCCAGCAGCCCCACACAGGTTCTTTCTGACATTTGCCCCACTCTCTGCAGGGCCTGAGTGAAGATGTGAGCATCAGCAAGTTCTTCGACGATCCTATGTTGCTGGAGCTTGCCAAGCAGGATGTTGTGCTCAATTACCCCATGTGAGTGCAGGGGCTGATGACAGCTGCTCGCTGCAGGGGCTGGCTCCTGGGCTGGAAGCTGAGACCTGGTGGGCTGTGGCTTCACATCTTCGGAAAACGTCCTGGAACTGCTGTGACCACCTTGAAAAGCCCATGGACTTCCAACCCAGAACCCTGGGGAGGGAGGAGCATTTTCCCTCTTGGTTCCCTCTGTGGCCTCTGCCTGGTTGCATCCCCAAGAAGCTGAGGGGAGCTTGGGCTCAGGGAGAGAGGAAGATGAAAGCGTTCAATTGCAAGGGCCCCATCTTTGGAATAACATGGAATTTTATTTTTACAAGTTCAGCCTTAGCCTTGGTTTCGAAGTGAACAGAACATTCCGACCTCTGCCTTGTTCTGCCTCTTTGATCTCCACGCCCGTGCCCCGTCAGGTCCTGGTGCTAACGTTCTAGATAGCTGTCAACTCCCCTGAGGCCTCACTGCCATTGCTCCAGCTGCAGCCTGCTTCCTGCCTGGGTCCCCAGGGACTCCACCTTTGGGGGAGGAACTCCTGCTCTGATTTCCATGGTCCTGTGAGCTCCCTCCCCTCCCCACATGCTGCCCTGGATGGGACCCAAGGTGGCATAGGCCAGTTGGGTTGCCGGACTCCAAGGCCTGCTGTACCTTTTCGGGTTACTGCTGCTGCTTAAGCATCTCTCTTGTCCTGGAGTTGGGAGCCAGAACATTTTGATTTCCAGCCTTTTCTCTGGGTCCCCAGCCCCCACCACTGCCCCTTTCTCTGTTCTCTGCCCATGTAGAAGAGACTTGTTTTTCCTCAAGACTACTTTATTAGGAGCTCACAGAGATTGACATGGGGATCCGACTGCCCGAGTCCCCGTGGTCCTACTTCTCCCCAGCATCCGATGATGTCCTCTTGCTGTAATCTCGGTACATTGTGTACACAGCGCCTGCGTGAGGGAGAAGGAGAGAGACCCTTTGGCTGCAGCCTTGCACCTGTTCTCTGGTTCTCCCAGGTGTCCCAGAGCATCAGTCTGGCTGTTCCCTTGAGGGCCCAGCTGCCCCGCTAAGCTTTCTACCCCAGAGCCCAACAGCTGCTGCAAACATCTGACCAGGCAGCCCTGAGGAACAGCCCACCTGACAGTCGACAGCACACTCATGCATTGCCTATTGAGGGAGCCTCACGGCCGCCTGTGACATAAACAGTCCTGGGGAGATTGCTGTGACTGTTGAAGTGTGGAAACTGAGGCTCATGAGAGGGATTTATCCACTGTCACTCTGTAGCCACTTAGCTCTCTGCCCTTTGTCCAGAAGGAAGAGAAATAGTATGTATTCTGTTGGATGACTTTCTCATCTCTAGGGCAGCCTGCCACAAACCAGACTATACCATCAGCTCAGCCTAGGGGCAGGAAATTCCTCAGGGGACCCCAGAAATGTTTCAGTGTGGGAAGTTGCTACCTCCAGACTTGGTGTGGATCCTGGAGGAACAGGAACTGCAGTCACAATCCCTTCAGTTGTCAGGACTGGTGCCAGGCTTTGCTGAATCTGTTTTGCCCTCCCCCTACTCCTCCTGTGACTGCACCAAGCTACTCACCTAGCATGATGGCACCCACCGCACAGGCCTGTGCTGCCACTCGGGTGTGAATGAGATGTATGGACATTTTGGTGGAACCCCGAGCCTTCAGCCGGTAAATCCGGTACGCTGCCACCACCAAGCAGGCTCCCAAGCCTGTGGGCAGAGCACAAGACTCCTCTCATCCCAGCCACCAAGCACAGTGCCCCCGTTAGGGCACTAGGTGGACAACCCACTAGGTAAACAGTTGGACTGCTGCCGCTTCAGGGCAGGGGAGTATCCCTGGAAAATGAATGAATGGCTTCCCTTCAAAATGACCCCCTCCCTCCAGTGATGCCCCTCCCCCCACATACAACTAGCCCCTCATCCACGCCCACTCACCCACGTAGCTCTGTTTCCAGCCCTTCACCCACTGCTGGCTTCCACCTGATACAACTCTAACTTCTGAGCCCTCCCACCCTGAGGCGGGTGTTGGTATCCCGAGTTTCCTTGTGTCCCAGGCATTCAGTTCGCTAGAACCTTCACCTAGCCATATTGTCAGCCTTATTCTTGGCACTTTGGCTGTTGGTACCTTGCTCAGTGGGTAGGAGTATGTGAGCGCTCTGACTTCTGCTTTGTTCTTTGAAATGCCCAGGATGTACAATCTCCTTGCCCCCTTCCCAGCCACTCTTACCTATAGGCACCAGCGGAGACTCCCTGGTCTTCCTCAGGAACTTCCCAGAAACACTGTCCTCACCCTCAGAGGGCACCCACCAGCCTTTGTTGGCAGACATGATACTGCACCTGAGTGTTGATCACCAGGATCCCTAGGTTTCAGCCCAGTCCTAGGAGGAAGCACCCCACAGTTATATCTCCAGTTCTCAATCTGGAGTGGGAAGTGGGGGGTTAGCTGCTGAAACCCACACCATGCCCAACACAGCCTCTCCTTGAAAAAATGTTCCTCCCAGGTGTCCTGATCCCATGGCTTATCTACCAGCAGCCACTTTGTCCATGTCTTCTAACATCTACCTCTACCCAGCTCATTCCAACTTTGTACTTCAGAATGATCTTGAGCCAAAATGAATAGCTGGAGAGACCCACAGATGAGGTAGAAGGCCCCGAGTCTTGGAGCCCCCACAGTCCTGGGTCTAGAATGGTTGCTCCTAAGAGAGCTGCAAAGTCGATTTGTGCCCAGGGAGCCAGAGCCACACAATGCAGTGAGCAGACTGTGATCAGCTAGCTGCAGGCTGGCTTGTAGTTTGCACCTGGATGCTAAGGGGATGAATGTTGGTCCCTGAATGACTTCACTGTTTCCGGTCCACCTCTTGCTAGGCTCTTCACCACCAACAACAACCCTCTGCCTCCCTCCCTGCACTGTTTATTTCTCAGACTCCACTGAGTCTGTGAGTTGGTTCTCAAAACAGGAGTCCTGCCAGCAGGCTGCCTTCTGCCTGTGAGACAGACACATCCTGGTGACTCGGCTTCCCTTTCTGGTTGCCCCTCCTTCCCCAGTGGTCCCCAGGTCCTAGCATGCCAATTCTTACCCTAGGAAAGTCCGGGGCTGAGTGGCTGCTATTCAGACCCAGCCAGATGCTGCTGTTGGAGCTGCCACTATGGGGTCAAGGAAGCAGCCCTGGGTCTTTTGGAGACTTTGAAGTAGGGAGGAGATGGGAGGAGATAGAACAGAACATTAGTCTTAACCCCAAATCTGCTGAACTCCAAGTGCCGGGAAGCCGTGTTAGAACAGATGGTGGGGAGTCCCTAGCTAGATGGAATATGATGCTTGTGGACAGAAAGTGGCTAAGTCAGAATGCTTGGTGTGGGAACAGGCAAAGCAGTACAGAAGCAAGGATGGCAGATCCCCCCTCCCCACACATACACACCCGCACCCATGTTACACTGCTTTAGGCCCTTGCATGGACAGTAGAGTTATCAACAGAATACCCCAACTGAGAACATGGCCTCACCAGTCAGTCCTGACCCCGCTGAGGAGACTTTGTGAGCCAGGGAGATCTCTCCAGAGCTGGAAACAGTTGAGCTGCAGAGTGCTGTCCTGCTTGTGGGGACAGTGCCTTCTCCAGCAATAGGATGACAGCAACCAGTGAGAGTGCTGTGTTGTACTCGATGCGTATACTTCAGACTCCTCAGCTCTTCTATCCAGTAAGCTGTTTGTGGTGGAGGACACAGCTGGAGTGGCAGTGCCATCCTCTGAACCCAGGTCTGGTGGGCACCCAAGTCTGCACTCCTGACTGCAGCCCTCACTTCCACAGGATGGCGGGGCGGGGGGGGGGGGAGAAAAGTACTTGCTAAGTGAGCAGGGAGAGACGGGGTGCCCTGTGGAGAGCCCCGCTCCATCCCAGGCCTTTGTGCTCTCCCCAGTGGCTCAGCCTGTGCATGCGTCAGTCCTAAAGGGGCTCCATTAGCCCTGAGACTTTGTCCAGCAGCTGATGAGCCTCTTCTCTCCACAGTCCTCATGGCTCTTGGGGGTGACCCAGGGTCACAGCGATTCCCTAGGGCTTGCACATGGCCCCACTGTCCATGGGAACTCTTCTTCCAGCCTTTCACACACACCCTGCTGGGCTGCCCCTGCAAGTCCCAGCAGCCGCCTGACTGACCCAGAGCTGGGTGATTGTGCCCTGCTGGTACCAGAGGCTGCATGAGACAGGGCAGGAATCAGTCAACTCCCAGGTCCTTTGAACAGCAAGTGGAAGGCAGAGTCCATTTCTCCCTACCAAGACGGTCGGTGCTCCAGAGCCTGTCAGCCCGGGGCTGAGGAGATAGAGGTTCTGCAACTTGTGAGCACCTTACATGGGCCAAGCAGAGTGCTTGTTGCTTCAGTAGATGAATTTACTTGGTTTGTTTCACAGGTAGTAAATTGAGGTTCAGGTAAACATCTTGCTCAAGGTGGAAAAAAGACAAAACTTGTCAAAAATTATTTGAAAGGCAAAAAGTGACATGACAGAGATCTGTATGAACCAGCGTTCGTTTCCCAGTACCCACAACAGTGGATTTCCCACGTCCATGACATGTGGCCCGGCTCTTTGAACCATCTCCAGGGGTACGTGAGCAGGAAGCTGCTGTCTGAATCACAGGCTGTCCTCAGACTCAGACTGGCACTGAAGCCCTTGCACGAAGCACCTGCCCCAGGACCTACTTTAACCAGCTCCCTAGTCTCCTCTCACTGCGTTGGACTAATGGGAGAATGTATGTAATGCACAGGGGAAGTCTCAACAAGAAATAAAGGTACTTTTTACTGAGAAAGCGACTAAACTTCAAAGGAACACAGTCCTGTTTTAGCAGACAGATAACATTGGGATGGCATTGTTTTTCTTCATGTGCCAAATCTTCAGTAATGATTTCCATTTAAGCATTTTTACCTCAGGGATTTGCTTAGGAAACCTTGTTTTTCCCAATCAGGTCAGATTAATCGAAATTCTAGTTTCTGAGGGGTGGGAGAGTCCTAATTAATCCTGCAAAGACGGCATAAGCAACAGTCAGTTGTGGAATCAGACCAATAACTCCAAAGAAGTTGGTTATGCCACTCCAACTGAGTGCCGTGTCTGTAAACTGGGCGGAGCGAGTGTGTGTTACCATAGGCTCAAGGGGATGGCAGAGCGTCTCCTGTACACTGCCTGGGTGGCAGGCTGGGACACAGGTGAGAAGTGCCTGACAACATACAGGGAACGTACTGTAAATAATCCCGAGTTCAGCCTACACATTCCATCCCTCCCTGGCCACCACCCAGTGACGCGCTTCTGCACCCTAACAGGAAGCTTCATGTGTGTCCTCTGTTGGGCTGAAGGGGAAGGGACAGGAAGGAAACGCTAAGTCGAAGCGCTGAACTCGATCTGTTCTATATATAGCCCCTAGGAGTTGAGTGACCAGAGGGGACTGACCTGTGACTGTGAGGAGATGACGGAGAATAGGATGTGGCACAAGGGATGTTCCCAGTAGATAGGGTTCAAGGGCTTGGGAAATAACAAGGGCAGGCATGTTAGGCCATGGTGGTGTGTCCAGGGAGATTTTAGGGGCAAAGGCAGGGTAGCAGGAACAGACAGGAACGATGGAAGTTTCTAGGTAACATGGATAGGTTGAGGAAGCCTCTAGGAAGTACCCAGGCTAGAGAAGATGCTAAGATTTCTTCACTTTGGAAGATGCCTTCAGGCCCGGCACGGTAGCCTAGTGGCCAAAGTCCTCACCTTGCACTCTCCAGGGGATCCCATGTGGGTACTGGTTCTAATCCTGGCAGACTGGGATAGGGTGCAGCACCTGTCAGCATGAGCAAAAACTGGCACTGGAGACAGACTGGTGGGGTTATTGGGGTTATGCTGACTATACCCGCTGGTATGTGTGAAGACCAGGCCTCTAAGCTGGGCTAAGTCACAGCACCCATCAGTATTCATGAGAGATTATGCTGGGGCACAGCTGACCAGGCAGCTGCCTCACCAGTGTGGTGACTGGTGCAAGTGTGGATTCTTCTGAACTTGCATTTACCGGCACAAGGTCAAGTCTGAGGTCACCCCAAGCAAGGTTTCTTAGGGGAACTTCCCAACTAGACTACTGGATTCAAACCCTGCCACACGGAAGATCACAAAATATGTGGTCCAACCTTGCAGTACCTGTGTCAGGACTGGGCCTCCTCAGCTGCTCATGCCTGTGCAGTGGCCAGCATTCCCAGAAGCACACAGGGGGCATGACGGCCAACTCATCTAGGCCAGCAGGGGACATCTATTACCTCATCAGAGGATGGAAAGCGGAACAGGTTGGACCACTCTGCTGGCCAAGCTTTGCAACATGCTCTTGGGCCTGGATACACTAAGGTGGGCTTGGTCAGCTAACAGACATCTGGGCGTGCATCCCTCTTAGCTATATAAACAGTATTAAAAAATAAAACGTTTAAAAAGGTGGCCAGTGCAATAGCTCAACTGGCTTATCTTCCTCCTTGTTCTCTGGCATCCTATATGGATGCGGGTTTGTGTCCCAGCTGCTTCATCTGCCATCCAGCTCCCTGCCTAAGGCCTGGGAAAACAGCAGAGGACGGTCCACCCTGGATCCTTGCACCCATACGGGAGACTTGGAGGAGACTCCAGATCTCAGGAGACCTGGCTTCTGGCTTCGGATAGGCTCAGCTCCAGCTGTTGCATCCATTTGGGGAGTGAACCAGTGGACGGAAATTTTTCTCTCCTCTGTAAATCTGTCTTTCAGGAAAAAAACATCATCACTTTGAAGGCTTTGGATCCCAATGACCTTGGAGCATTTGTCTAAGGGCCACATGCTGAGGACCAGGAAAGTGCTTTTGATGCCCACCAATCTCAGGGGCATGATTTGGCCTAGTGGTTATGATGTCTATATCACTTACCAGAGCAGCTGGGTTTAAGTCCTAGGCCTGCTTTGTGTTCCTGTTTCCTGATAACTACTTACCGTGCAAGGCAGCAGTAATGGCGCAAGTACCTGGGTCCCTGCAACCCCTATAGGGAATCTGGATTGAATTCTTGGCTTCTGCCAACAGGCTGAACACTTGAGGAGTGAACCAGTAGATAACTGTTGGAAGAAGTTAAAATCCATATGAACACGTTCAGAGGGCATAGATAATGATGAGAGGTGGCACTGGGCCACAATCACCGGTGTTACAGAATCATGTCTCCTAAGACAGTTCCAAGCCACATGAGAACAGCAGGGACTGCTGTCCTAGATGACCAAGGGGTGCTGCAGAGATGTGAGGTGCTTATGAGGTCCTTGGATTGGGTGCTCCGAACACCCATGTTATCTGGCTGCCTCTGGAACACACCAGAGGAAGGGACTAACACCTGCAGAGCTTACAAGTTTTCGGGACTTGACAACCCCAACAGGTTCATCTCAGTGTTTCCATTTTACAGGAAGTCAAGGCTCAGATTAAGTATCTTACCCAGATCAAACACTAAATAAACGGCTCGAATTCAAAAGTGGTGGCAACTATATTCTACTTGAAATGAAAAAGCATATAACTATTAACAACCTGTTGTGGCTGTTTTTGGCACAGCTGATTAAGCCACCACTTGGGAAGTCCCCACTCTATATTGGGACTGCTAGGGTTCAAGTCCTAACCCACTTCTGATCCAGCTGTCTGCTAATGCACACTCTTACAGGCAGCAGATGTTGGCTCAAGTCCTGGAGTCCCTGTCACCAGCCTTGGAGAGCCTGGGCTCCTAGCTTCAGTCTGGCCCATCTCTGGCTACTGCAGCCATTTGGGCAAATGAACGAGCCAACAGAAGATATTCTCTCTCTCTGCCTTGCAGAAATAAATGTGGGCCTGACGCAGTAACCTAGTGGCTAAAGTCCTTGCCTTACAGGTGCTGGGATCACATATGGGTGCCAGTTTGTATCCTGGCTGCTCTACTTCGCTTCCAATTCCCTGGTAATGGCCTGGGAAAGCAGTAGAGGATGGCCCAGGTCTTTGGGACTGTGCAACCTTGTGGGAGAACCGGCAGAAGCTCCTGGCTGCTGGCTCCTGGCTCCTGGCTCCTGGCTCTTGGGGAGTGAACCAGTGGATGGAAGATCTGTCTCTCCTTCACTCTGTAAATCTGACTTTCCAATAAAAAAAAAACTAATTAAAATTAGTCAATGGATTTTTCAAA